CAACATACCAATACAGTGCTGGGGGAGTATGCTTTGATGGAAGTGCTAACCTTTGGATGAGACTTATTGGTTGTTTGTGGGACATTGCTGTGCATAAATTGGCTGCCACATTTGTCTACAAAATACAAAGTCACTACACTTTACAGTAAATCTTGTGAAGTTTTGAGACATCCTCCTGATGTGAAAGATGCTAGATTAAATTGCAAGAATTATTATTATGAGGTGTTTAGCTCAAGGTCCTGCCTGTTCAGGTGGATGTTAAACAACACATTACATTTGTATAGTGCCTTTAACATCAGGAAGACGTCCCAAGGTGCTGAACAGTCAAATATCAAATTAAAGTATTATAGGTTTATCATTTTGTAAATTACCTCCCTGTTGAGAATGTACAAGTCCTTATTCAGCTCTAAAGCTAACACAAAGTGTCACCAATGTCAACAAAATCTGTTTGTTAAATCTCTCAAATTTCCTTGAATTTAAAGTACCAACTCATGCGTTCTACCCTCTGTTGACTGTCCTCCTGTATCTCAACAAAATGCCTATTCCTCATGTATTACCCCAGAAAGCTATTCAATTAATTCCTGACCGTGCTTAACAATCACTTGTATATTTTTATCACGGGTTGGTGTATTATAAGAGGAGAGGGCTGTGCCAGCAATTTCCAAAGAAGACTCTTCCTACTCAGCAGTATGAACTTATAATTTCTTATGCCAGTCATCCTTATGTTCTCATCCTTACCATTTTGGTAACCAAGTATATGTGACAGTGACTCACAGAACCTCCACTTTGTATTAATCTACTGGATCTCATTGTTAATTTATACTGAAGTATGCTCTTTACCTATTTTATGACATGAACCATTAGCTATTAGTAATTAAGTGGAGATGGAAACTCAAATAAAACGCTTATAGTCAACAGGGAGGAAAGACATTATACCCATCAGTCTACCTTTGATTAGAATACAAGTGCTGGCAATGAAAGTCTGTGCTGACCAGCTGCAGTATACACTCATTCTCTTGAGTTTATCTCTTGTTTCACAGATTGAACTGAAATTGACCAAAACCTCTTCAAAAGCATTGACAACAATTGACATGACAATTTCTTCTTCAGATAAATCCAAGTCACCCAACCTTATTAACTAGCTAAGTCTTTTGATTGTGAAGCCAAAGCATCTAACACAAAGCACCTGCTTGTAATAAAGACAGAAATCAATGGATTCTCAAAACAAGTGGTCCATAGTTATTGCAATCTGATTAGAGGTGTTCTTGTTAGTGTTGGTCACTGAAATAATAAGTCAGATATCGGGGTCTAATTTGTGTTATTTCTCAACAGATTTTTTAGGAAGAAATATGTAATTTTCCAATTTCTAAAGCATAGTACGTGGACAGTCCGTATCTTAGAAATGATTGCATCTTTCTTATTCAGAAATCTATTAAGAAATACAGCAAATCAGATCCAATTGGTTTAATTTTGAAATAAATCATGCTACAATCTAATTACTGTACACATTTTACTTAATTTGAAAGGTTGTACTTGAATTTCAAAATAAGATCACTGTTGTCTTTGATGTAGCAGGGTTTCTGGTTTTACTGTTACTTATTTTTCTATTTCCACATTCCTGCCTTGCATTTTGAAAAACTAACCCCCTCAATCCACCACCTTACTTTTACTTCATTATTACACTGCTCTTGCTTTGATCTGCTTTTGTAATAACTGTAACATCCTTGTGAAGTGATTCATTTTAGCAATGTACAACATTCGCTATTTTAGCATGAAGAGAAACCTTGCCATGCTTATTTGGGGGAACTTGTCTTTGTTTTTGAAGAGGGGTACATAACAACAAACTACAATTGCTCACGACCATGCAACAACAACTGTTTGCCTCAAATCCATTATAGTACAAAGGCTTAAAAGGATGTTATGTTGTGCTAATATCAGTTTTAATGGCTGTCGTATTTACTATGCAAGGAGATCAAAACAAGAGAAATATGGTAATGCTTTACCAAGATGGATAAAGAAAAATAGGAAAGTTAACCTTTTGACAGCTTTGTATACATCACAAATGTATTGAAGCTATTTGAAAATCGGAACTAATAAGGAATATTTGCAATACTAAAGCTGCAATGAATGCAATAGTTTGAAAGCATTACTCATTAGACCCATTGTGATTATTATGTTAACATTGCCATCTTGTGGTGCAACAGAAAATAACTGCATTAATACAGTATTTACAGTATGTATCATGTTCAATTTTGAAAAGTCTGTTTACTTTTCATTGGTAATGCAGTGTATGTGTTACAAGTGGATGAAAAATGCAACATTCAATATGATGTTTTTCACAAATGATACCATATCATCAGAATTTCATAAAAATCATCAAAAGTCCCAGTCGACGACTGGTTTCTGGTGAACACTCCGAATGGAATGGTTTGGATGAAGAAAGCCTTTTGGCCCATCTGATCTCATCTGATCTCATCAAAGTCATCCTGACTTTGAAAAAAGTTGGGTGCGTATACTACTACTAATAATCCTTGCATTTGATGTAGCACCTTATCACGTAGTTGACACATCTCAAAGCACTTCACAGAATATACTAGAAAGTTAATTGACTGTATATTGTGAGGGGAAAATGCAGCAGCCAATTGAACACAGCAGTGTCCCACAGTCGCAGATTGAGTAACCACATTATTATTTTCTTTATTTTTGAAGGGATTATTAGCCCCAGAAAGCAATCCATCAATCGACTAACAACAGGGTTCCTACTTACTACTAGGTAAATAGAGGCATGTGGAGTAAGAAAACTTGCCAAAGCATTCACCCTGTCTGGGAATCGAACGCGGGTACTTTCGTTTGTGAAGCGAGTGCTCTGCACCAAAATGCTGCAACTACAGGACTCAATAAAAGCCAACTGCCTATTGAGCCAGTTTATAGAGTTGTTGAACTTGTCACCCCATGGATTGCAGCTTATCAGTTTGTGTTCAAGGAATACCATTTCAGTTCAACTTTTAAACACTAGTTTAGATGTAATTACGTAAACCAGCATTGAAGTGTGACAATCCAAAGGATACACACGTTTAATATTGTTATTGATGTACTCCACCTCGGCCAGATTGCTGACCTCCAATCTTAACTCACACTCAACAAAGCTGAAACCCATCCACACATTTGTCACTTCCTGCCTCGATTATTCCAATGCTCTCTTTGCTAGTCTCCCCAGCTCCACCATTCATGAAATACAACTAATTCAAAATTATGACCCGCACCTGCATACTCACCCGCACCAAGCTCTTGTCCCCCAGGTCCTCACCAGCCTCCACTGGATCCTTATCACAAAACGGATCAAACTTACACTCATCTACAAATCTCTTCACATCCTGGTACTTCCCAACCTCTCTGACCTGTTTACTCCCCACGACTACCCCCACTTGGCTGGCTCCTGCTTGCCCTCGTTCCCTCTCCTCCACCATCGGCAGCCATGCTTTCAGCCATTACGCCCTAAAACTATGACTCTCTCACTCAATCCCTCTGCCTTCTTAACCATCTTCAAATCACACCTGAAGACGTTCCTCTTTGACTGTGCCTATCGTCACCTTCTCCCTCTCCCTCTCCCTGGTTCAGCATCACACCCTACCTCTGTTAAATGCTTCAAGACACTGCACCCTATATAAATGCAAATGACTGTTGTTGTACCCAACATATATTCCATGGTTCCCAAACCGTGGCTCTTTCCAACCTGCACCTGATACTTTCCAGAGATAGGTAAACAAGGTGCATCCCTCCAGGGAAAAAGAGCACGTTCCATTCCAGACAGAGAGGGAGATTGCCAACGGGCTGTGGAGGTGGCGTACACATGTGGAACTTTTGGTTTGGATATTTTAGGCACGCACGGGTCAGGCACCCACCCGGCCATCAAAAATGAACAAACATCCCTCCCTCCACTTTGGAACTCCAGAGAGCATTGCGTTCGCCTCGCTCCCCCTCTTGCCTCCTTCAAGGCACATCTCAAGACCCTCCTCTTCGACCACCCTCCCTGCCCTCCCCCTCCAACCAATCAGCCACCCCCTCCACCCCGGCTCAGGTCCAAATCCCTGACTGTCCGGAGCCAAATGCAATGTGGAGTCCTGTAGCTCAGTGGTTAGAGCACTCGCTTTGCAAGTGAGAGACCTGAGTTCAATTCCAGGCAGAGGGCGAAACCTTGGGCAAGTTTCCTTACTCCACACACCTAATAATAATCCCTCCAAAACCAAAAATAATAATAAATTGGTCATTTTCAATCTACGACTGTTTGTGGGACATTGCTGTGCGCAATTGGCTGCCGCGTTCGCCCACGAATATACAGTCAATTCACTTTACAGTGTGTTCTGTGAAGCGCTTTGGGACGTCCTCCCGACGTGAAAAGCGCTATATCAAATGCAAGGATTATTATTATTATTATTATTAATGTGGCGTTGTAGTACACTCATTGGAAATATTTCCGCGCCGGCCGCGCTCGCGGTCTCTCCAGAGACCGGGCTGACCAAAAAAAAAGGAGCAGTGAGCAGGTGCTGCTGGACATGTCCTGGTCTCTGCGAGTTTCACCCCTCCCCCACACCAGCACCACACCAGCTGCATGGGGCAAGCCCGCACATGCGCATATCCGCTGCTGTTCAGCGAGGGAAAGACTCGGCGCATGTTCAGTGCGCACCCCATTCGCCGCCGTGAAAAAAAATGCAATCACGCGGGAGGGGGGGGGGGGGTGGGGTGGGGAGTCGCGTCTGCTGAGTGAGTGCCCTCTCCATCACCAAGATGGCCGGGCCGCCGCGTGGCTTCAGTCGGCCCTGATCACGTGCTCACCATTCGTCGTGCCATTGGCTGGGGAGGGTTGCCGGGGGGGGGGAGGGGGGGCTGTGACCGTTTGTGATTGCGCTCAGCCCGCGCTCCCGCGCACGCGCACGCCAGTCTGGCGCCGGGGCCGCCGCCGTCCTCTCCTCTCCCTTCCCTTCTCCCCTCCCGCCGCCGCCGCCCTCATGTGGGCCTCGGCCTCTCAGATGCTCTGGAGGCGGTGTCGCTGGTGCGGCGGGTCCCGGGCCGCGGCGAGAGCGTCGATCCGTGGGCTGCAGACAGGAGCGGCCTGTGGGTCCGCGCAGGTCAGTCAGTCTGCCCCCCCCTCCCCCCCCAAGGCCTGTCTGTCTGTCTGTCTGTCTGTCTGGAGCTGGAGACCCCCCACATTAGGATGAGACGTTAAGCTGAGGTCCTGTCTGCCTGTTCAGGTTTAAAGATCCCATGGCACTAATCCACAAGGGAAGAGAGCGTCTCTCGCCTTGCGACCCGGACAACAACAACAACTTGCATTTACACAGCGCTTGACAGTGGTCGGACGGAGCCCGATGCTGACCGGGGGGGACGGGGGGTGGGGGGTGGGGGGCGACCGCAGCCGCGATCGAATCTCCAGGCGGAGGGGTAATAATAATTAATAATAATAATAATCCTTGCATTTGGTATAGCGCTTTTTCACGTCTTCTCGACGTCTCAAAGCGCTTCACAGAATAGACTGTAAATTGAATTGATCGTATATTTGGGGGCGAAACGCGGCGGCCAATTGCGCACAGCGGTGCCCCACGAACAGTCGGGGGTAGAGGAAGAGTTCCAGAGTTTTGGAGTGTCGTGGCTGAAAGCGCAGCCACCAATGGCAGAACAGAGGGCGTGAGGGACATGCAGAAGGCCAGTTGACCAGAGCCTGTGAGTTGGGAGATAAGCAGGTGGGAGCGCCAGGGCATGAAGGGATTTGAAAACAAGTGTGAGAGAGTTGAAATCGATCCGGTCAGCGGTTGGGAGCCGGTGGAGCCTGGCTAGAACTGGTGTGATGGAGGTACGGGGTTTAGTACTGGCGAGTATGCGGACGGCAGAGTTTGGGATCAGCTGGATCCTGTGCATGGGGAGTCTGGCAATGAGAGCATTTGAAAAGTCGAGTCAGGAGGTGACGAGCGCATGTTTCGACTGCATCTGGGATAAGGTATGGTTCGGAGGCGGATAATGTGGAGGTGGAGGAAGGTAGTCCTGGTCAGGGACAAGATGTGAATCCCCCAGATAAAGTTAGACACTCCATGGCTGTTTGTGGAACTTTGTTGTGTCCCCTCCTCTCCACTGTCAGCGGCCGTTCTTTCAGCAACTACGCCCGAGACTCTGGAACTCTCCCTCTGCTTTGCTCCTCCGTACTTATCTGTCTTCAGAAAACCTTCCTCTTCGATCATGCTACAGTCACTTCCCATCTCATCCCAGCTCAGTGTCAGGCTCCAACTCTGTTAAGCTTTCCAAGACACTACCCACCAAGAAGGGTGCCACATAATTGCAAGTGTGTGTAAATTGGCTTCCGTGTTTGTCTGGAAATGCACACTTCATACACTTCATACACTTCATAGTAAATAATCCTTACATTTCGTATGGTGCTTTTCATGTTAGGAGGACGTCTCGACGTGCTTCACAGGATATACTGTAAAGTGAACTAACTGTATATGCCATAGAAGTGACAGCCATGAAGTGAATGAACAATTTTATTTGGGGGATTGTTGGCCAAGACACCAGGATAAACTCCCTTCTCTTTTCAAATAACATGCCATGGAATATTTAACGTCGACCTGAACACGCAGAACTTGGTTTAATGTCTCATCCGACTCCCAACAATGTAGCACAACTCCCAGCACTACATTAGAGTGTCAGTGCTATATGAGGTCAAAGTCCTTTGAGAGGTTCTTTACCAAAAGATGCAAAGTATAAATGCAAGTATTGTTATTATAAACAATATCATCATAATTATTAGTGTCACAGAATATGTGCCCCGGTAACACACGTGGTCCCTGATTCTGCACTGTTAATTGCAGTTTTGAGACACAGAAAATAAAGAGACGAAAGACTTGTTTTTATTTTCATTCTTAAAAAAAGTGATGCTTTTTATACACCCTGGATTGTCGCATAACTGCTTCAGGCAAATTAACATTGCCTTGCTAATTCAGAGATATTTTTACTTTAAAATTTGAAACAATCAACCAAGTGGAGTCCTGTAGCTCAATGGTTAGAGCACTCACTCTGCAAGCGAGAGACCTGAGTTCAATTCCAGGCAAACCTTGGGCAAGTTTCCTTACTCCACACAGAGCCTAATAATAATCCCTCCAAAAGAAAAAGCAATAATAAGTTGGTCATTTTCAATCTACGACTGTTTGTGGGACATTGCTGTGCGCAATTGGCTGCTGCGTTCGCCCACAAATATACAGTCAATTCACTTTACAGTGTGTCCTGTGAAGCGCTTTGGGACGTCCTCCCGACGTGAAAAGCGCTATATCAAATGCAAGGATTATTATTATTATTATTCCAAGCCATCGTTTTAAATGTTGGATGAAACTTGATGCTTGGGAAATGAGAATTAGAGGGATATGAGAGAGTGTATTAGGAAGCTCGTGTCCTGTAGCTCAGTGGTTAAAGCACTCGCCTCACAAGCGAGAGACCTGGATTCAGTTCACGGCAGGGCGAAATATTAGGCAAGTTTCCTTACTCCATACGCCTGTGTTTACCTATCAGTAAGTCGAACCCGGTTGTTAGTTGATAGGCGGATCGCTATTCCAGGAGTAAATTCTTTCAAAAAAATAATAATAAATTGGTCACTTCAATCCATGACTGTTTGTGGGACACTGCTGTGTGCAATTGGCTGATGCGCTTTGCCCACAAAATATACAGTCAATTCACTTTACAGTATATTCTGTGAAGCGCTTGGAGACATCGAAGATACGATAAGGCGCTATATCAAATGCAAGTATTATTATAAACATCAACAATGACTAGTTGGGTTGAATGACCTGTTTCTGTGCAGTTAAACAGTCTATGTAAGATAGAAGTTGACAGAACTGCCCTGTCTTCTAAGATTAAATTTTAAACTGATATTGGGATCCTAGATACAGTACATATACAAAGAGCTCTGCTTTCCCCCTAGCTACGTTTAGGTAGTGCTCTTGAATAACACCTGCACTGTAACTACAACATCAGAAAAAGTTACATTTTCAATCCAAAATGAGAATATCCAGACCAAACATGCAATAATAAATGTAACCGTTAAATATATTTTCACATCTGTCGATTTACATTCTGAAACATGACAAGCAGATGTTTAGGGGAGACATAATTTGTGGGTAGATGTGAGTAAATTACAAAGCGATTTACATACAATCCCACTTTACACCCCAAAATCAGGTATTTGTAATTCTAAGATAGTGTTCGGATGAGATACAGATATTGTATTAAGAGTGGAATATTTCCTCAGCCTCTAAAGGAATGGTGTTACTGAACTTAAAGTAAGCTAGTGAAATTGGAGTGGTTTATCATAGTCATTCTAATAGATTATAGCCTTAAAATTACTCTTTGTGTAACATTATGGTTTTTGAAGGTTTTGGATTGACAGATGAGAATTAATGCATTCCAGGTTTTATGTAATTTGAAGATCAATAATTGTGACATTCTTACGACACGTTAATAGAGAGATAATATACAGTTAATGGCTTGCAGCATTTTTGGGAAGTTAAATAATGCAATAATACAGCAGGTCATTTTCTAATCTTTAATTCTGTAAGAAATATGTTTTCAGGCATTTTTATTTAAACCTGCTAGGTCTATTTGACATTGAAAATTGTGACCTGTGACAAATAATATGGATTTTATAAAATATTAATCAGTTTGAATGTAGTTCCTCTATTATTTGTTTTTTTATATGGCAAATCTTAAGGACATTTGCAGAACTGAAATCAGTTACTTAACAACTTGCACTTATTTAGCACCCTTCATGTGGGGTAGAGTCTTTGAGTGCTTCAGAGATGTAGGCTTCATTTTGTTAAATATAAATTTAAGCACACCAAGCCCTCTTTAGAAATACACATCTCAAGTCCATTTGATTCCTCCTTTCTCTGGTCAGCTGGACCATACTTCTATATTGAGTTTAAAAATACTCAGTTTTTCTCCAATGGGCCTCCTGGGAAATGGGTGTTATGGTGCAATTTGCCCATCCTGGTGACTGACAAAAGGTATGGTAATTAGCTGTATTTGTTATAATACAGTGGTTGGATCCATAAAATCCCGACAACAGCTTGCATTTATGTAGTGTCTCGGTTTGCACTGAACAGCGACTGTCCAAATACATTGGGCTGAGGAGGTGAATGTAGGCAAGGGTGAAGAGGTACGTTTTAGTGAGATAGAGAGGGGTTTAGATAGGGGGAGTTCTAGAGGTTCTTGAAGACTCGGCCACTGATGGTGGTGCGGGGAGTTTGCAATAACCTGAAATTTGCTGGAAGTACCTTGATGGCAACCTGGAAGTTGGCTATTCTAATGCAAAAGCAGGCCTGTACACGGGAAGAACATTAAGAACAAATTAAGAACATTTGCACAATTCTGCTTGATCTTGAATATTAAGACCGGTGGAATTTCGGACCTGCAGTCTTTTTTTGTTTCCTTTTATAAACTTAATTACAACTGTCATGATCCTTTACAGGAAAACTATGACCTTTCTAAATTCCCTGTGGAAAATGTTAGGAATTTCAGCATCATAGCACATGTAGATCATGGAAAAAGTACACTTGCAGATCGACTCCTAGAAATAACAGGTAATGTATCTTTTTACAGTATATCCTACAAACGTTTAATTATAAAAGTTGTCTAGCCGATTTTTAAAGATATAACACACCTGGTTTAAATTTAGCTCTATACATTTTTTTTAACGCTTATCTTTATTGTTCTAGCTTAATTTTTTTAAAAAATGTGCTGTGCTCCTGTTGAATTTCAATAACCTGCAGCTCAGCCTCAACCAAGTAAAAGAAGCATCTGGTTTCAATGCAAAGGCAAATACTGCACACAGATTAGCATAGATAAGTCTAATGCATTCAGCTATTCGTGTGAGAAGTGTAAAATAATCACTTATAGGGATAGTTACTTTACCACTTTACTACATGTGGTTTCACAGTTCCTGTGTTTGGCAGGTGAGCACATCTTGTTGAAGAAAAGCAGTATTTAAATTGTTTTTCACATTTTCAGGAGCTATTGCCAAAACTAAACGCAATAAACAAGTGTTAGATAAACTGCAAGTGGAACGAGAACGAGGGATCACTGTGAAAGCTCAGACTGCAACTCTGTTTTATAGTCATGCAGGAAGAACCTATCTCTTAAATCTCATCGATACACCAGTAAGTTCACAAAGGTACTCACCTCCTTCATGTTATCAACTCTTGAGGACAGAGCTCCTGCCTCCCTTGGCAATGCCTGGTGTGATAATGTGTCACAAATACTACTTCTACATTGTCAGTTTGTCTCTTGAGAGAAGCTGGTGTTTGGAAAAGCCCATAAAGTGAAATGGTTGGGTTTCCTTGTCCTGAATTTTGGAAAACCCCACTTGAATTCTGATGACCCCTTGCTCAGCATCCGAAACTAATAAAATGTTCCATGAACAGGCACATGAACACGTCTTGACATTGTCATGATAATATTGCGGTGATGTAAAAACATTATTTGTGCAGGAAATTCATTAAAAATGGTAGGTTAAGGCTGTTTATTAAAAATTTTATACAGTACAGCAACACATTCTTTAAAACACTTTCAATTCTCTTTCATCAACAGGGTCATGTGGATTTCAGCTATGAAGTTTCACGATCACTGTCTGCATGTCAAGGTGTGTTGTTAATAGTGGATGCAAATGAGGTAATTTGAATAAGTTTATTTTTGACACTTTCTTGCTGGCACTGACCAATCGTAAACTCCCAGTGAAAGAAACACAAGACATATGTTAAACCCACAATGAGTAATGTGTCCACAGCATCATTTTGGTATTCAATGCATTAGCAGCATTAAAATAAACTACTCATACTTAACAAACCAGACAACTTAGCCAGAGCATCTAGCCTTAAAATTTAAAATACGATAATGTAGGATTTTTGAAAATTCTTAATTTTGACTTATAAACTAGTTTCTGGAGATCTTAAAACAAATGGCAGAAAATTGTTTTCCACACTAGTGTTAGGAATGTGATCCCTGAGATCTGGATAGAAAGGAAAAGTAATTATATCCCTTTGAAAGTAATCAATTTTGTTTTAGGAATCATTGTGGTCTGTGAAATGTATTTTATAAACTTTTGTGTCAATAATTTTTATTCAAAGTCTTAGGATCCTTGTTAATTTTTACATTGACATAGAAACGTATTATCTTTCTATCAATTTTCCTTTTCTTCTTACTGTTACCAGGTAAGGATATGGAATATCAGGATTATTCAAATATAATTTTATATCATACTCAGAGAGTTAATGTACTTGAGAGTTGCATTTTTGTAAACTGAATTATTTTTTCTCACCCAATCATACGTTAGTCTATAAATTTCACTTTAATTTTGTACAATATGAGTTTTTATTAGGAAACATTATTCTGATTAAGTTCATCAAATGTTTGCTTTTTTCAGAATGGTTAAAATTACCTTTTTTTAACTTGGCCCATAAATAATCATATTGCAAACAAATTTGTCCTGTGTTGATTTAATTTTTTCTGTTTTAATTGATATTTCTCTTAGGGTATTCAAGCGCAGACTGTGGCAAACTTTTTTCTTGCCTTTGAGTCCCAGTTAATGATAATCCCTGTGATAAACAAGGTAAATATATAAATGGCTTGTTGTGTATGATGTTGATGTTTAACTTGTGAAAGTCTAAATTTTTCTAAGTGTTTTTTCCAACCAAGAATAAGCTAGAGAAAGCAAATAATTCGTTTTCAGTATGGAAAACGTTAAAATAAAAATTAATTTCTTTGCAGATCAGACAGTTTGAGTGATTACTGACAAAATGTTTCTGAATCTTATTGCAGATTGATCTAAAGAATGCTGACCCTGCTAGAGTTGAAAAACAGATTGAAATGGTCTTTGATATTCCTAAGGAGGAATGCATTAGAGTATGAAACTTGCTCTTTTTCCACTTTATTGATTGTTAGTATTGTATGCTGAGTTAATCTGCAGTCAAAATCACATTAGCTTTGACACTACATTTTGAGTCTCCAGAACAACAGTCCTGTTGGAGCCCTGTAGCTCAGTGGTTAGAGCACTCGCTTTGCAAGTGAGAGACCTGAGTTCAATTCCAGGCAGGGCGAAACCTTGGGCAAGTTTCCTTACTCCACACAGAGCCTAATAATAATCCCTCCAAAACCAAAAACAATAATAAAATTGGTCATTTTCAATCCATGACTGTTTGTGGGACATTGCTGTGCGCAATTGGCTGCCGCGTTCGCCCACAAATATACAGTCAATTCACTTTACAGTGTGTTCTGTGAAGCGCTTTGGGACGTCCTCCCGACGTGAAAAGCGCTATATCAAATGCAAGGATTAAATTAAACTAAACAGTGGGAAAATCTACAAAATACACCGTCACTACACTTTGTAATTAATTGTGTTATCGCTTTTAGACGTGCTCCCAACGTGAAAGCTGCTAAAAACAAGTGCAAATGTCATATTACTGTTATAATCAATTGTCATTTCAAAGTGTAGTTCTTTGATTGTGCTTTCGATCTCTTTCCCCTCCCCACCCCCAGCTCAAGGGTCCATCTACCAATGTTAAGATGAGATGTCTTCCTGATGTCAAGGCCGCTATATAAATATGGATCATATTATAGAATTGAAAGCACTTTCTCAGATAGTTACTAACATTTTCTAATTTCACAGATTTCTGCAAAACTAGGAACAAATATAGATGAGGTTTTGAGAGCAGTTGTTGAAAGAATTCCTCCGTAAGTATCTTGCATGCCATTATGTTTCTGAGGTCATTATATTTCTGAGGTTAATTCTACATGAACTGAAATTGGAGCTTGAACTAACCAACAGACATGTTTGTACCAAAGTACCACTGTTGCTGAAGTCACATCCACATTCTGGCCATCTGGGATGATTTCAAATGCACACAAATTAAACACTTTAGTTCTTAAATAGAGCACATTAAAACTCACCTCTGAGTCCTGTCTTAATTGAGCCCTGACTGACATGGTGGAAGTTTTCTCTTTCCATGAGCTGTCAAGGATCCAATGTGAAATTAAGTTGAATTTGATTTTCATCTAGAAGCATTAAGATCTTAGGGTATTTGCCAAAATGTTTCTAGTGCATTAAGTTAAGTTTTGAATATTTAGGTCGTTAATGCCTACTGTAATTAGCAGATGACTATTCATTTCAAAGGATTACAAATCTTTTCATTTTAGACCAAATGCAGGTGCTGCAGACCCACTGAGAGCTTTGGTGTTTGACTCCACCTTTGACCACTACAGGGGAGTCATTGCCAGCATCACACTTTTTGGCGGAAAGCTGCAAAGAGGGGATAAAATCATGTCGTCATACACACAGAAACTATATGAAGTTAATGAAGTTGGAATCCTTAGGCCTGATGAATATCCAGTAGAAAAACTGTAAGAAATTGTTTCTTTACATTAATCTCATTCACAAATGTTGAATCAGTCGTGTGCTACATATTAAATATAACCCCATCTTTTGTCTGGCTTTTTAAGTTAAGAGAAATGTATTTATCTTTATTTTTTAACTACTGTACATTTTGGAAATGGGAACAACAGAAAGGAAAACTTGGTGTGCCAAAAAATGTTTCCAAAGCCCATTTTGGTTGGCCAGTTAAGGCCTAGAATTCTAACAGTTGACTTTGGCAAACTGCTCATCTCTAATATCAGATCATGAGGGTTGCAGTTACAAGAGGGGATTGAGATGAACATGTCTGATGTAGATTTTATATTACAGTGTGGGCTGCTTTGTGAACGATGTATTGATAGGACATCCTCCCAACGTGAAACGCGTTATACAAATGTAATTTTGTTGGTGATAATTGAGCGTTACTCATAGAGCAGACCCAGCTCCTTCCTCTCCCACCACTTCCTTCACGAACCCCTCCAATCGGGTTTCCGAGCCGCCCATAGCACAAAAATAGCCCTGGTCAAAGTGACAAATGACATTCTGTCCATCTGCGACCAGGGCTCCCTCTGCCTCCTCGTCCTTCTTGACCTCTTTGCTGCCTTCAACACCATTGACCACTCTATCCTCCCCTTTCACCTCAACCTTCACGGTTCTGTCCGTGAATGGTTCATATTGTAACACTCACACCGCCTCCACTTCATCTCCACAAACGTTTCTCCTCCAGCCCCCGCACTGTCTCGTGTGGCATTCCTCAGGGCTCTGTCCTTGGTCCCCTCCTCTTCAATATCTATATGCTCCCTCTTGGTGACATCATCCGCAGACATGGGATTAACTTCCACGTGTAATAATAATAATCCTTGCATTTGATATAGCGCTTTTCACGTCTTCTAGACGTCCCAAAGCGCTTCACAGAATATACTGTAAAGTGAATTGACTGTATATTTGTGGGCAAACGCGGCAGCCAATTGCGCACAGCAATGTCCCACAAACAGTCGTAGATTGAAAATGACCAATTTATTATTGTTTTTGTTTTTTGGAGGTTTTATTATTAGGCTCTGTGTGGAGTAAGGAAACTTGCCCAAGGTTTCGCCCTGTGCCTGGAATTGAACTCAGGTCTCTCACTTGTAAAGCGAGTGCTCTAACCACTGAGCTACAGGACTCCACATGTATGCGAATGACACCCAACTATATCTCTCTGCCTCATCTTTGACTCCAGGACAACTGCTGTCCTGACAGACATCAAGTCCTGGATGAGAGTTAACTTTCTTCAGTTGAACGTCAGCAATACCAAGGCTCTCCTGATTGGTTCCTGCCAACATCTCCACACCTCAGGCTCTCACAGCATCAAGATCCAAGGATGCACACTCCACCTTACTGACCCAGTCCGGAACCTTGGCATCTTGTTTGAACCTCAGCTATCCTTTCTACCCCACATCCATGCCATGACCTGCTCTGTCTTCCCCCATCTCCGCAACATTGCCCGGGTCCGCCATTGTCTCACACCTCAGATCATCCAGAACTCTGCAGCCCCTGTCCTTTCCCGCACCGGGCTCTGTGACCCTATCACCCCCATCCTTACCCGACTCCACTGGCTTTCCATCACACAGAGGATACAGTTCAAGATCCAGGTCTGTCCTGCATTCCCTCCGTCTCGCCCCCTCCCTGGCCTCCTTCAAGACCCATCTCGAGTCTTCCAATGTGAAAGGCTTTATACAAATGTAATTTTGTTTTTGTTGTTAAACACCCCAGTTTATTTCACCATAAAAGTGAAGCTTCACTTTATAAGGAGAGGTTGTTTCAGAGTTGGTTTACAAGTATCCAGAGTTAAAGTGGAGTTAAACCTCACATTTGTTCATCTCAAGACCTTCCTCTTTTTACCGTAACTTTGTTTATCTTCTCTCCCCCCCTCGGCTCTTACCCCCAATTTGGGTTGAAGTATGGACTGTCCAGCACCTTGTAACATCCTCCTGATGTGAAAATATTAACTTGTTGTTTCTGATATGCTTCAGTTCACTGAGCACAGTTTTGAAGCTGAAATGACAATAAAAATCATTATTAATTTTAAAGTATTATTTCATGATATAATTGTATCCTCAGTAATCATGGCACATCTTAATATTTGTGATTGTGTTACTGTGTAGGTATGCTGGTCAAGTGGGCTATCTAATAGCTGGAATGAAAGAAGTGAAGGAGGCACAGATTGGAGACACATTTTATTTACAGAATCACCCTGTGGAGCCACTAGCAGGCTTTAAACCTGCTAAGCCAATGGTCTTTGCAGGTAAGAGAACTGGTAAACCAGTCAAATTATAATTACCCAATGGTGTACCTGGGAGAACATATCATTTATTGTTCCTCTAAAAGGTCAAGGTTATTTCTCCATCACATTGCCTACTTTAGTTTAGGTTTTTTTTGTACCATAAAGCAAGCTCATTAATCTTTGAATCACGCTGCTGGGAAATAAATCTTTTAATGCTCTAGTTCTTAACTTATATTTCATCCAGTGTTCTAGTTTAATGCCTGATTAAACTGGGCTTCCTTGGAGACTAGCTGGCTCCAAGGTGACATACATGGCAACAAAATGTTGGAATCAACTCTTGTGGTCTCATGAGTCTGGTTCCTGAGCTGGTCGTGTGCAGTATTTTATGGGACTGTTGATGACAGTCTGGCTCATCAGCAGGACATGGAGTGGCAGACCAGTCACCAGGGGCAGGGATTCTTCCTGCTCAGCTCTTGTTAACCCTGCAAGCCAAAGCCCTAACAGTAGTCCTAGCTGGACAAGCCGTGTTTCATTGGCAAAGTATGCCGTTTTAGCTGATAAAACTCCAGCATAGCTCAACGCATATTCTAGAGTTTCCAAGTCTGGCTCTTAACAATCTGCATCTAATACTCTCCGGAGTTAGGTAAGTGGGATGCATTTCTCAATGAAGAGTGAATGCATTCCATTGCATAAAACATTCAGTCTGGTTTGGATACTCTTAAGCAGAGTATTGGATACTGTTAAGGTTAAGGGATTCTGCATGTGTCAGAAATATGGCTGACCCAAACAAAATGGCACATTAGGTCAGTGATAGAAAATAGTTGAGAGCTAGCAATGAATTAGTAAACTTTTTTCAAAGGTGCTAAATAAATAGCTATAACACTAAATTTAAGAATGCCTCACTGTTATAAACTGTTTTTCTTGCTGCTTAACTGCTAAAATGCTGCAGAGAACAGGATGGTTCCTGCATTGATTTCTTTCACTGGTAATTGTTGGTGTTTGAGTAATAGTTGTTGCTATGAGGCTGCCTCACACTACATTATACTTTATACATCAGTTATTGAAAGCTACTTCAGTCCGCTTTAATGGCTTCATTTCTAAGGGATGTATCCAGTTGACCAGTCTGAGTACAGCAACCTTAGGAAAGCTGTGGAGAAGCTGACACTGAATGACTCCAGTGTGACAGTTCACCGCGACAGCAGTCCAGCCCTGGGAGCTGGCTGGAGGTGAGAGTCAAGACTATTTATTTTAATAACTTTTTTTTGTTAAGCTTCCCACAATTTTATATCGAAATGTTCATGATCTTAAGAGGAAAAGCCAATTGGTCAAATATAATCTAACAGCAAGGAAAGTTCTTTCTGTTTTGATATATTGCTATGGTGCTGTTTGAATATTTTTATTTCCCCAACTGAGCTTTAAATGCAGAAGACTTCCCTGGTATTTGAGCTAGTTAAGGTCCCCATTCCAGCATAGACTCTGAAAGAAACTAAGTGTACTTTGTTTCCTGTTGAATCTTATTGGCAGCGTTTTTGTTTCTTTTGGGGATACAATGTGTGATTACCGTTGTTTTATTCCTGCATCTTTCCTTGAGGTGGAGATATGAGCCAGTGTTTACCCTTGACTCAGCTAAAATTTATGAGATGGATACTTCACCTTATAATAATGAATAAATAATAATCCTTGCATTTGATATAGCGCTTTTCATCTCTTCTTGAACCACAATGAGAGGTAATTGAATCCTTAATGCACCTGGGTGACAGATCAATATCTATAGCGAGTGGGACTCAATCTTGTATCAATAGGGATCCTGTTCAGGTTGTGTGAATTAAGCCTCTGAAATGATGCACTAGTGAATGCTATGCCACTTTTTTTTGCTTTCCTTGAATAATGATAATCCTTACATATAGTACAGCACCTTTCACATTTGTGGAGTCCTGTAGTTCAGTGGTTAGAGCACTCGCTTTGCAAGCGAGAGACCTGAGTTCAATTCCAGGCAGAGGGCGAAACCATGGGCAAGTTTCCTTACTCCATACGCCTAATAATAATCCCTCCAAAACCAAAAACAATTATGAATTGGTCATTTTCAATCTACGACTGTTTGTGGGACATTGCTGTGCGCAATTGGCTGCCGCGTTCGCCCACGAATATACAGTCAATTCACTTTACAGTGTGTTCTGTGAAGCGCTTTGAGACGTCCTCCTGACATGAAAAGCGCTATATCAAATGCAAGGATTATTATTATTATTATTATGAGGATGAAATCACAGGATATATTGTTACGTGGATTGATTTTTTTGTTGGTGAATGCTGCAGCCAATGTGCACACAAATAGCCATAAAGTGAATTTTATTGGGAGATTTTTGGTCAGGACGCCAAGCAAAACTCCCTTCTCTTTTCAAATAGTGCTATGGGATCTTCAATGTTCACCTGAACAGGCAGACAGATCTGATCCTCAGTTTAAAGTCTCATCCAAATGATGACACCTCCCAACAATGCAATGCACCCCAAAACTACAGTGGAGTGTTAGCCTTATCTATACGAATTGAAAGCATTGATTACTGCTATTGTTCTGTAGACCCTGGCAGTACCCTATCCCATGTGGCCATTCTTCAGGAGTGAGATTAACAAGGTTATTTGCCTTTCAGGAGACGAACATCAGGATCAGTGTAATTTTGCTCTTTGCTGACATCCGAGCACATACATGTTACGCTGCAGGGGTCATTCGATGATAATTGGGGACAGAAATTGGCCCTGTTTTAATTTTCTTCTTGTCAAGCATGGAATCACTAACAATGTTCAGTAACAGCATCCAGTGTCGCTTCATTTGCAATTGGCTTACACAGTGCAAACAGGAAACAAATATGGATATTTATGACATTTTTGCTCAGTATTGAGCACATCATGACATTCTCCAAGTCAAGAATTTGAAAATCAATAAAATAATTTTTCAGTTCCTGATTTAAATCTAAAACTGCTGTGATTCAACTTTACTGACACCATAAAGACCTACTGCTTACTTCTTCAAAAATATACCTAAACTGAATTGCAAAAGAAAATTTTAAATTGTGTAGATTATTATTTTTTTAAAAAATCCATCCCATTAATCATATCATTGCGATGTTGTATTTGAATATTTCTCCACACATATTTTCTGGATGTGTATGTGCAGGAAACTCACTGAGCGAGCTGGATGAATAATTCATTCATAGATGTGCACAGCATTTCAGTGTTCTATATTTTCCTTTACAACAGCATCTACATTACAGAATTATGGGTTACAGGGCAATTTCAGGACAAAGCCTGTGAGTTAATAACTCACAGGGTTATTAGTGACTGAAACAGGTTACCCGGAAGGGTGGTTGGGACTAGGACGCCCTTTTTAAAAGAAGAAACGCTTGATGCTGTAACAGAACAGTAGGATGGGTATTCTGGAAAAATGAGATCAAATTGTCTTGAAGAGTCTCCATGCAAACCTCCCTTGTGATTTTTTGAACACAAGCATGGTATCCTAATATTTCAATTCAAATGATGGATAATTTTAAAAATTCACTGAAAAGGCAACTCCTCCATTCCACAAAGCTGTCTTTATAGTAGAAGTGTTTGTGCAAGTAATTTCTTTCCTTCCCCTCAAAGGACATATTAATGCAAAATATTATGTTTATATGAAAATGAGTTGCAGTTTGCTACAGGGCAGAAGTTAAATTGTTTGAAAGATAAAGCAACTGATTAATACGTGCATCTTGTTCCCAGGTTGGGGTTTCTGGGGCTTCTCCACATGGAAGTATTCAATCAACGTTTAGAACAAGAGTACAATGCTTCTGTCATTATGACTGCTCCTACTGTTCCCTACAAGGCTCTTCTGTCATCCAGCAAGTTAATCAAGGTAATGACATTCTTTCAATTAACAAATCAGTGGTGTGTTAAGTTTTATCTTTACCAGTATTGCATTTAGAGTCTGAATCTTAAGTTGCATTCTAAATATAGTACTGCTACATTGCTTTTTTCCTGCACTTCAAATCTTTCAGCAAAATAGTTTTTGCTTTTTTAAATTTCACATAATATATAATATTTCTATTTGGTTCTCTCAGGAATTTGGAAATGAGACGATTACAATTTTAAATCCATGCAATTTTCCTGATAAATCACACGTTTCAGAATATTTGGAGCCAATGGTCACAGGTACTATCCTGACTCCTGACGACTACATTGGGAAAATAATGTCTCTGTGCCAGGTATGTTTAAACATCTGGACGCATTTGTCTACTTTTACAACTTCGACACACATTGAAATAGTTTAGAAACATCAAATGGTTCAAGTTATATAATTGATTGTCAGCAGATTAAAATACTGAATTGTGTTGCTATGACATTCAGTGGTAGACTTCAGTGGAGACCAGCAAAATAATTCTTATTAGGGATATTCATTTGGAGTTTTGTTTTCAGTAGGATCGTTTCAAATGAAGCTGTATAGAAAAGGTTAGTTGTAACAAGGAGATTAAGTATTATTTTGCTTAATACTGTTTCTTCTGTTTTTATTATGAGGGTGGATTATAGAACATTTGCTACAAAGTGTTAATTTGACACCAACTGAGGATTCCACTACTAAAGAAAATAGATTAGATATTTTGGAATTAAGGATAGATGTTTAAAAAATAGAGGGATTAGGGGATATGGGGATAGCGCAGGTAATTAGAGTTAGGTCTGAAGATCAGCCATGATCTTATCGAATGGCGGGGCAGGCTCGAGGGGCCGAATTGCCTACTCCTGCTCCTAATTCTTATGTTCTTATATAATGGGGTGTGGATAAAGCATAAAGATTAAAAGTATAAATTTGGATAATCAAATGGTAGAAGAGGTTTGATTTGCCAAATGTATTTATTTGTTTCTAATATTACATTTATTAAACATTTCTGTGATTCAGACATGTGCTGATCAATAATTTTAACAAGCATGAGGAACAATAAAATAATTTAAAAATAGTTTATTAAGTAATATCTCGGGATTGAAAATAATATCGAGATAACAATATATTTTGGGATACAACATGTCATGCGACTGCCAGGATGATGGAAAGCGAACTAGAAGGACCTTTGTCTTCTTTCGACTAGCAAATTCATATGTGCTTAATTTCATGCAGAATGGCCCTGATGATTGGAGGTATTTTTAATGTTATATTATTGGTAGCTTTTAAAAGTACTGAGAGTCTGTTACTGAACTCCGTCTCTTAGAGTCGAAGAGGAGTTCAAAAGAGCCTGGTTTACATCGATGATCACAGAGTTATGATGCAGTACCTTTTTCCTCTGAATGAAATTGTGGTGGACTTTTATGATGGTCTAAAATCGCTTTCTTCAGGGTATGCCAGGTATGAATATCTGCTGTGTCCCTTTTCCGTATATAAAGTGGAAATATAAAATCCTTTCTGGTTCTTTTTACTATATTAGAATGACCATAATTACCAACTTGTATCCAACTAAAGGCCAGTGTAAATAATTTAATACAGCTAGGCATCAGCCAGCTCATTTTGTAGCACCTCTAGCCTCTGAGGCTTGTGCGTTCAAACCTCATGTAAGTACTGTAAGTGGTGATTAAAGAGCTTTTGGAATCATTCAAAAAGAAAAGGGAGTTTCTCCCAGTGTCATTGGTCAACAATCCTCTAGATAAAATTGACTTCATGACTGTTTGTGGGACATTACTGTGCGGAAATTCGCTGATGCATTCACCTACAAATATACAGTCACTACACTTCAAGGTAATCCTGTAAATGCTTTGAGACATTTTGATGACTTGATGAGGCAAATGCAAGGATGATTATTATTATTACTAAGTGGAGTTCATAGTGACCATTTTAGCACGTTGTACTTTTACTAAATGACCTTATAGTCCATCTGAATTGTATTTTGTTTAATAGTGAGTCCCATTCAGTGATGTATTGCAATGAAAGTCCTTTCAATATCTACGATACATGCTAACTATCAGTCAAATGTAAACTCAATAGACTTATTATCACTTGTAGAATTATTTTCACATTTCATCAATGGCAGGAGTGCATTGGTAGCTAGTGTTCATCCTGATAGCCACTGTTTGCGAATATAAACACCCAATCTCATAGTTAGCTGATCTCAGGTGGGACAGCACTAGGAGTGGCACATTTGCCCCCACAGTCAAATTAACCACTAATATTCTCTTTTGAAGATCAAACTTAAATTGTCCTTACTTGGTAATTTGCTCCAGGTCAAATCTGGAGTGCCTGAACTGTACAGAAAAGGTAATGGTTCACATTATGAAATACCTTGTTGAAAACAGCACATTTCCTTTAGGATTCTGTGGTCCAGGCACAGTTAAATTAATTAAAAAATTGAGACATGCATTTTTTGTGACTGCTGCTCTACTCCCATCCACCCTGAAACAACTTGCTTCAGGTTACAAAAGCACTGCTGTACTAATGTTAAAATGTTGTCATTATTTTTCAGCAAAATGCACAATGTCAAAGTTGAAACTATAAAGTGGTGTTATATCTTTCAAAAATAAGTAGCATTTAAGTAATTATCATGCATATATACTTGTCCAGTGTCTTTTTATAATGTTTGGGCATCTCCTGACGTGAAAAGCGCTATATCAAATGCAAGGATTATTATTATTATTATTATCTTCTTGCAGTTTTGACTATGAGGATGCAGGACACCAGGCAGCTGATCTGGTGAAGATGGATATTTACTTAAATGGACATTCTGTGGAGGAACTGACAACCATTGTGCACAGGTTTGACACTGAAACAAAGTAGCTTCAAATGCACTTACAAGACTTATAAGAGGATCAAAAAGCAAAATACCCCAATTCTTCTTTTGTTCAATTATCTACCCGTTCAAAACCATTATATTTTCTGTATTTAACCATCAATTCTAAATGCATGTAGAAACTGATAAGGTTGTCAATCAAATCACTGGGCCTCCAGTTAGAAGGAAGAATGATGTTATTTAAAGCTGTGTACATTTAAAAGAAATAAAATATCTTTAGAACATTTGTTATTTTCTCCCTTTGTAGTTATCTAGCCACTACATTTTGTTGTTGTTCTTCCTGATCCGAATGCTCTGTCTGAGATAGACAATGTTAAATATATGGTATTGCTGACTCAGCTGATTATCTTAAAAAGTCAATTCAAAATGTCTCTTAAAATCGCACCATTCTCAATAAAACAAGGAATAAATGAGGTGTCAAGCGGCCATGTAACTCTTGAGAACCTATTTTGTAGATCTCGTGCACCGTGAAGTTGCTTTTACAATAAACATGTATTAAAATAGCTATGAAGAAATTGTAATATTTGTATTTGGACTATATTTGTATTTTAATTGAGTGGGAATGTTCAAAAAATGAGTTTGAGAATGATGTTATTACTTATTTTTTTGGCAGGGAGAAGGCCTATTCTGCTGGTAAAGCAATAGCTGAGCGTTTGAAAGACTCAATACCTCGACAGCTTTTTGAAATAGCCATCCAAGCAGCTATTGGCAGTAAAATTATAGCAAGAGAAAAGCAAGTATCAGATTGACTCACTGCTCTATGACTTTATTTATCCTTGTTGTTTTCTAACTAGTAACATGGTCCATCTAAGGGTGGGCAGTAGGGAGGAGGGCTCTTGTCAGTCTTTCCCCCAATTCAACTCTGTGTCGCTTCTCTCATTGTCCCAAGTTATTCTGGGGTCCCCAAGGCTTGGCTCTTGCCAACCTGAGCCTAAGACTTTCCGGAATTATGAAAGCAGGATGCATCTCTTCAGGGGGAGTGTGTGTATTGCATTCCAACAATCTATCTCTGGGATGTCCATGTGTAGGTGGGATGCATGGATATTTCAGCTTGACCTGGATACTCTTAAGCATGGTGATGAGTTTCCACATATGTCAGACACCCAGCTGACCACAAAAAAAACCTCTTCTGTTTTAACCCTGTCCCCCCAAAAAATTGCCTCTTACATTCACACTCCTATCTGTTCTCACTCACTTCTCTCACTTTGCACTCACATACTCTTCCCTCTTGTACACTCACGGTTCTCTGTGTCTCTCATGTCTGTGGGATCCATTTCACACTCAGAAATGGGCAAAGGAGATGGTTGCTGGCATAGAAGGAGGAGGAGCTGGTGGTTCTTTTCGGCTTCTTGATAATCAAGGATGGATGGATGTTACAAATTCAATATGTGTACTGAATAATTGTATGAAGTGAAAAGTGTCAAAATGCATTCTTAATCTCACAGCCCACAAGTCAATCTCAGATACAGTAATTGCTATTTACATTGAACGACTTACCTATAGTGGGTACTTGAATGTACATAACTTCGTTAAACTGAAACTCAAGTTTGTTTTCTTCAAACATTCATAAATGACAAGAACTTTGCTCTCACTGTTTCACCTCACAAAAGACTGAATTGTATTATTTTGTGACTAATTTCTACATGTTCCATACATATCAGAGCCCTTATTGAATATTGTTTTTTTTCAGCATTAAAGCAATGAGGAAAAACGTACTGGCAAAATGTGTAAGTACATTGATTTTCTTTTTGTGTAAATAATTTTAAATGCAGTGTTTTTTCTGAACAGGAAAAAGTACCTCCTTAGAACATTATTCTTTCAAAGTGATGAGATCCATAGCACAATTTACATGTAAATGGCTGTGCATACTCAAAATGGGAAACCCATCTAAGACAAATTTTTGAATTATTTTAAGATGAGAAAAGTAAGACCGCATTTTAAAAATTATGATCAGTAAATTTCAACGTAACTAGTGTTGTATACCATTGATCAATCTGAACAATGTAGTCTGTTCGCCTGGTCTACCATCTTTGATTTGGCAAAGTGGGACTGAACCAGCCAGATGCCAGAATGAATGTGTTGTGTGTTGAATTCCTCCCCCCTGCGATGATAGTCCAGAAACTTGGTACAGTGATGAATATCGTGCCTCAGTGTAAAACATAAAGCTGAACGTGATGGTGGGGAGTTGATGATCGTCACTCATTGACTCTCTTGCCACCTTACTATGGAACACAGTGGTGGGGCTTGGGAAAGCTCACTGACTGTTAGTGTGGGAACCAAAATATATTACCAAAGTTGTATACTGAATACTGTATTTTTAATAGACTTGTGATATACAGTGAATTTTGTTTTATTGCATTGAGTTCAGAGCATCAAACTTGTGGAATATCAATATGAGGTTTATCCATGGCTCCCATTATTATGAGGAATTGGGCTGGAGCAACTTGCATTGATAAATAGGCTTTAGAAGAGCAAATTGAGCATCTTTAAATGTCAACCTACCACACAATTATCTGGAAATGACACATGAGGTGTGCAAATCTATGTTAATGTAGATAAAGATACCAGAAAGTAAACCATGTTTTATCATTGGTTTCTGGGAATTTGGATATTGTTTGATAATATTTGGGAATAGGCTTAACAGTAAAAAAGAAGTTTAAGAATGAGTACAACCATTTAAACTGGTTTATTTGAAAGTACTACAAGCGTGCTTGCTCTCACTGTATTTTGATGGCTGCATTTCATAAAAATTCCACAGGATGGCACAAATACTGTTTATTTTAAGGTATCATGATAGCTAATTCATCATTTACCCTCGAGTCAGTTAAAGGATTATAAAATTAAAAATATAATAATAATAATCCTTGCATTTGATATAGCGCTTTTCACATCTTCTAGACGTCCCAAAGAGCTTCACAGAATATACTGTAAAGTGAATTGACTGTATATTTGTGGGCGAACGCGGCAGCCAATTGCACACAGCAGTGTCCCACAAACAGTCATGGATTGAAAATGACCAATTTATTATTGTTTTTGGTTTTTTTGGAGGGATTATTATGGATTATTTGGGGATAAACATTTTAAAATGACTTTACATAATCACAAGCTACAAATAATGATTGAATTGCTACATTTTTTAATATCCATTGTAAACATTATTTAATGGCTTTTAAATTTACAGATAGTTCTGAAATGTTCACAATGTCATTTATTTTTAATGTAGTTTAACCTTTATCCACCTTGTAAAGAGCACTACTATGTGCTCTATATGCGTATATTAACGGTAAACCCTTTCACAACCACAAAGAAGTTTAGTTGCAATGTGTGTTCTGTCATATTAAAGTGCTGATGTTAACTAGACTTGAGTTGCCACCCTCTTCCTGTTTCATGTGTAAGAATGTGACATGAATTGACAGGTGAATTCATATTTGATATTGTTCACTCTAAACGGTTTGCCCAGGAATTTTACTATTTTACTATGCTGTAACTAAGGGAGTTCAACAACAACAACAAAATTACATTTATAGAGCACCTTTCACGTCGGGAGGACGTCCCAAAGCGCTGAACAGTCAGGTGTTGGGGCCCGAGCACTGGCGAGGGTGGGAGTGATGGGGTCACGGAGCCTGGTGCGTGAGAGTACACGAGCTGCAGAGTTTTGGATGATCTGCAGCTTGTGAAGGGAAGAGTTGGGAAGGCCGATGAGGAGGGAGTTCCCGTAATCAGGTGACGAATGCATGGGTGAGGGTTTTGGCAGCCTGAGGGGTGAGGCAGTGGTGGAGTCTGGCAATGTTGAGGAGGTGGTGGTAGGCAGTGCCGGTCATGGCGCGGATGTGGGGGAGAAAGGACAGTTCAGGGTCAAACAAGTTACAAGTTAGTGAGGTTGAGTCTGTAGCCATGGAGGCTGATGCTGCCAGCGCCTGAGGTGCGGAGGTTCTGGCGCGAGCCAATCAGGAGGGCCTCGGTCTTGCTGACGTTGAGTTGGAGAAAGTTGGCCTGCGTCCAGGACTTGATGTTGGACAGGCAATCAGTCAGGACTGCAGTAGTCCTGGAGTTGAGGGTGGAGGCAGAGAGGTAGATTTGGGTGTCATCTGAGTACATGTGGAAATTTGCCCCATGTCTGCAGGTGATGTCACCAAGGGGGAGCATGTAGAGGGTGAAGAGGAGGGGACCGAGGACAGAGCCTTGAGGAACACCGCACGAGACAGTGCGGGGGCTGGAGGAGAAGCCATTTGCTGAGACGAAGTGGAGGCGGTGTGAAAGATAGGACCTGAACCAGTCAAGGACAGAACCTTGAAGGTTGAGGTGGGAGGAGAGGCGGTGGAGGAGGACTGAGTGGTCCACAGTGTCAAAGGCGGCTTAGAGGTCGAGGAGGACGAGGAGGCAGAGGGAGCCCTGGTCACATACCGTCAGGATGTCGTTTGTGACCTTGACCAGAGCAGTTTCCGTGCTGTAGGCAGCACGGAAACCCAATTGGAGGGGTTCATGAAGAGAGTGAGAGGAGAGGAAAGAGCGAAGCTGGGAGGCAACGGCTCTCAAGGACCTTGGATAGGAAGGGGAGATTTGAGATGGGCTGGTAGCTGGATAGCTTTGCCGGGTCGAGGGAAGGTTTCTTCAAGGTGGGGGTGATAGTGGCTGTTTTGAGGGGGGAAGGAACAGTGCCAGATGACAGGGAGAGGTTAATGACAGCATGGAAACCCGTGGACAGCAAAGAAACCCGATTGGAGGGGTTCATGGAGAGAGTGAGAGGAGAGGAAAAAGTGAAGCTGGGAGGCATCAGTTCCTGATGTTATCACTGTGTAAAGTGCATCTCATACAGTAATAAGCTCCAATATCCCCCCTATCTCTCCCAAAGTAACCACAAAAAATAGTTATTCTTAGTATCATATTTTTAAAAGCTTCACTTCAGTCTGTATTTATTTCCAGTATGGTGGGGACATAACCCGTAAAATGAAGCTTCTGAAAAGACAAGCTGAAGGAAAGAAGAGGATGAGGAAGATTGGTAATGTGGAAGTGCCAAAGGATGCCTTCATAAAGATATTGAAGAGGGAAAAAGACAAGTAAGACAAAACTATGTACACTTCTGATGAGGTGCATAGACTGGAAGTCTCTAAAGTGCACACATTTCTGATATGAGTATTCCAAGTTATGGTCCACAATGCAGATCATGTAATACAATAAATATGATTGCACTGAGTGGCTGAAAATGACAATTACTGTTGAAGAGGACACTTTCCTAAATATATTTGCTTTGAATAATCCACTGAAATGGAATTGGAATCATGTCAGAGACAGACAGGATGAATCAATAAGGATTTCATCAATCTTACTTAACCAAGAGTATCTCATGACATTATGTCCAGAGAGAATTGAAGAGAGACAACATTGGGATCAAGAAAGAATCTCAAAGATGCTCTAATTTAAACGGACTGAGAAAATCACTGTTAACCAGTTTGTTATGTTCCATAACATCCTTAGCAATTGTATATTTTAATATATTTGACTGTAAATAAATGAGGTTTTTATTCTAATAATTTGCTGTTACGTGCTATAATATCTGTCTTGTGAAAGATTTTGTAGCATGTGTATATAATATATATATATACACACACACACACCCCTAGTAGCGGAAAAACTATTGCTTCATTTCTGAGCCAACAACAATTTGCATTTATGGAGCACCTTTCACGCAGGATAGTGTGGTACAGTGGTGGGGTTGGACCCCAAGCATGTGGGAGGGGGAGGGAGAGGTGACCATTGACGCATTTGAAGAGATAGTCTTAAGGTGAATTTAAAGATAGATATAAGGGGGTGAGGTGGAGGCATTAAGACAGGGAGTTCCAGAGGTTAGGGCACCGTTTTTTTGAAGGCACAACAACAACAACAAGATTCCATTTATAGAGCGCCTTTCACGTGGGGAGGACGTCCCAAAGCGCTGGACAGTTGGGTCAGGACCCGAGCAGGGGGAAATGGTCAGGGTGAGGGGAGGGAAGGGAGGAAGCGAGGAGGGGGGACATGGTCAGGGTGAGGGAGGGAAGGGAGGGAGCGAGGAGGGGGGAAATGGTCAGGGTGAGGGGAGGGAAGGGAGGGGGTGAGGAGGGGGTAGAGAGTCGAGAGGAGCTGAAGGCACAGTCAAAGAGAAAGGTCTTGAGACCGGCCTTGAAGGAGGAAAGGGAGGAAGCACCAATGGTGATGTGCAAGATTCAAGGGCAAAAAAAATGTGTTCCTATGGGTCAGAAGGGTTTGCTTAATGGATCAGCTTGAAAACCAGAGGAGAAACAATACTCTTTATATTACTTATACATATGATATATTACTATGGAATATGGTAACCTTCTTTGATGCAACAATCAATAACAAGAGTTTTACAACAGTAACAAATTATACTTGTATCGCGTCCTTCACATCGGAAGGACATCCCAGGGTGCTGGACAGTCAGGGTTTTTTGGACCCGAGCTGGGAGTTGAGGTCAGGAGGGGTGGAAGGCGGTGGGATGGGTGGGAGGGTGGCCGAAAGCACGGTCGAAGAGGAAGGTCTTTAGACAGGAATTGGAAGGAGGCGAGAGGCGGAGGGAATGCGGGATAGAGTTCCAGAGCTTGGGGGCAGAGATGCTGAGCGCCCCATCACCAGTGCTGGGGCAGGAAGTGCGGGGGATCTGAAGCAGGTCGGTGTCCGCCGAGGAGAGGGAGCGAGCAAGCTAATATGTGTTCAGGAGGTCGGAGAGTTAGGGGGGAGCAAGACCGTAGAGAGCTTTGAAGGTGAGAACGAGGGTTTCTCTGAGTGATGGGGAACCAGTGAAGCTAGGCAAGAACGGGAGTGATAGGTTCACATTTATTGGTTTACATTTATATTGTGCCTTTCACGTCGGCAGAACTTCTCAGGCGGCTGGGAGTCTGAGCCTGGAGTGATAAAAAGTGCAGTCAAAATGAAAGGTCACAAGGTGAGCAATCATTATTTGAATGCGAAGAAAAAAAAAATTCCACAACCGTTACAGTTTAAGCATACTAATGATGATTTGTCATTTTCTCTCACAAGAAAGTATTCAAGTGAAAATTTAATGCAATTGTGGAAAATAATACAGCAGTACCAAGAACAATTTTCTTCATGGTAGAATAACAGCCATCATTATTTAAATAGCTGCTAAAGAAGAATTATAATTAGGTTCTTTAGCTGATAATGGACTGTGAATTCATACTGAAGTATAGATCGCTAATAGTGAGAAGGAAATTACTATTACAGTTAAACACTAAATCTAATCTTGCCAAGGCTTTTAGCTTCTAATTGAACAATGTATTCTGCATTTTTCAAGCTACAGTATTTATAGTTGTTTTGTGTGCTATGTGCTACATGTACTCAAAATGCATTTAAGAGCGCATTACTGAGTTGCATGGTAAACCTTGACCAATTGCCCAAAACATAATGGTATTAATAATTCATTTGACTGTGTGTAATATTTGAAAGGAGAACGAAGTTGCAACAATTATTTCATAAATCATGAGCACCACCAGTGTGACCAACGGCTTAGTACATCAATTTAATGTGAAAACAACACCAAATTGATGCAAAAAACAGAATATATCAGTTTCAAATACAGTCAAACCTGTTAAAGCAACCACCTCCATACAGCAACCACCTGCTATCAGCAATCACCTTGGAACAGTCCCAACTGATTTTCCACAATAAACAACCTCTATTCAGCAATCACCTGTTTAGTGCAGTAAATTCATCTTATTTAGTAGTTTGATTTATGGGTTCGTGTGTGCATTGTATTTTTCTATATACTTGTACTTAAATTCTACATACACCAACAAACCCTTACTCAAAGTTACATAAAGGCTACTTCGGTCCAGTTGCCTGATTGGTTACTGAAAATTGGTTTGACAGTATTATTGTGGTAAAGCAAGTTGGAGACCAGATGCCAAAGCCATCTTTACAACACTATTTTGCCAGGAAAACAAATCACAACCCCGCAGTAGAAATACAATGAAAATTGATTCAGTCTTAACTCTCAAACCGTTCAGCAGTGCTTACTAACGTTACAAGACTTCTCTTGTGTTTGGCTCCAGAGTATGTGGATGTGCACAGTGTTCTCTAAACCCCTGGAGAGTAAATTTGTAGTGAGAAATATGAATGCTGTTTCTAACTTTGCTTTACTACTGAAGTGATTTGAAATCATTTTCAACAGTACAAATTAGCTGTTAGGCATTTCAGAGTTTTATACTTACAATTTCAGCATTCCTAAATATTACAAGAATATAATGATGTGTTACTAGTGCCAGCATTCTGATGCTGGAAATGTGAAATAAAAATAAAAAATGATGGAAATTCACAGTTCAATCTGTATCTGAAAAAGGTATTTCAGGTGGGGAGTTTCATTGGTGTGTGCTTTTGGATTTCAACTTCTATTGTACAAAGAGAAAACTCTCATGAATTTCTTTGGTAGAATCCATCACAAATCACATTTAAGAGGATAAACAACTATATAGGACAAACAACTAGAAGTTCTGCATACATACAACTAAGCACCAACAAAATCACAAGTTAATTATGCGATATAAGGTTTCTGAAAGTAGTCATATGTTTCACAAAATAGATAATGAGCTAACACAAACCTCAAATTCAGCCTTCATATTACTCCATCCTCTGGAGGAGGTAAGCCTTGGAACTGACCTGGCTCCAAGGTGACGTGCTTAGTTACAGATTGTCAGGATCGTGTCATCCTCTGAATCAGTTTTGGTATCCAGTTCGTGTCAGGTGGATCTGCAATACTCCAGAACACTGCTGATGACAGAACAGCCATCAGCCTGGCTCATCGGCAGGACTTGGAGGTATGATTCTTCAACTCTGCTACTGTTAACTCTGCAACCCAAGAGCCTTAACGGGTAGGATGGTCCTTGCTGAACAAGCAGCGGGAAGCTTGCCAGACTGCTCTCAATGGCAAGCTGGTTAAACTCCTGCAGTACCCCATGGGATTCCCAAGACCAACCAGCTCCTAATAGTCTTGAAATTATGCAATTGTGTGCACCGCACCATGGAGAGTCTACCTTCCATTCCAGATACAGAGAAATTCTCATGTGTAGGTGGCATACAGATGTGGAACTCTCAACTTGGTTTGGATACTCTTAAGCAAGCTTCTATTTTATGAAGCTTGCGTTATACACTTGGCTGACACGCCAAAACATTTGCATGATTTAAGCATAAAAGCAAATCCAGATGAACAATGACAAATCCCTCAGGCTGAATTCAATCCTTAATCCAAATGGCATCTACCCTCAGCTCTTCTGAATGGTGTACAGCTCATTCCTGGTTCTCCATCCCATCATCAGTAGCTAAGTCTTAAGACATGATAGCCCAACTCTCACAATGCCTCAACTCTTTTTGCCTTGCTCCTTCTTTTCATGGCTTCAAAGCTCTAAACATCATCTCTGACTGTACTTTGGTCCACACCCTTAATTTCTACTTTCTACACTGCCTATTGTTCAACCCACAGATATATCTCACCACCTTTGCAGCCACAACTCTCATCTATGCGTTTGTAACCTCAAGGATAGATTTCTTCAATTCTCTCTGCTCTCCTAAACTCCACGTTCTATGGGCTGTAATTCGTCCCAAACTGCATTTCTTCCTGCTCCCCATTATCCTTGTGAAGTGTTTTGAAATTGTCATCCAAATTTCCATGAAAGACATATCTATGTAAGTGCATGTTTTTATATTCCATTGAATTGTAGGCACAGCTTTATTATGTTTGAACAGCAGACGACAGTAAATACAATATTCAATATGTATGACTGCTATTAATGATTTTGCACCACAGCTGCCTAGACCAAATGTAGTTTGTTTAATCATCTGAATTGAAAAGTACGTATGTATTAGTCAAAAAGAAAAATCACAGCAAGTCACTGGAAACTATATAGTGGTGTGTGAGGCCAGAGAAAGGATTGAGTCTTGTATTGCTAAACCTCACGTTTCAATTGCTATGTGTGGACCACTGCTGAGAATCAGGACCTACAAGGAGAGAATAAGTGTCAAGAGTGCTAAATCACTGGCCAAATGAAATGTAGTTTTATGCAGTTTTTGACTATAGACTTGGACATAGGACGAACACTATTAGGAACTTTGGACCTCTGGTTTGTACAATTATAAGACTTTCAATAAACAAACTTGACAAACAACTGGACATTGCATAAGAAGACTTGTCTGATAGGTAAGATTTCCTTCACTTCTGGTTTCACCCTTTCTCCCTCTTTATTACAACTATTTCCTCTTTTGCCTATTTTAATGATACTACAATGGTCATTATTTCACCAACCTTTCTTCACAAACTTCAATATTTTCTTCCACATTCTCTTCTTTCTCCCAACATTGAAACCAAAACTCATCAGTCTCTTTTTATAAATAGATTCTTTCCCAGAAAACTCAAGACTGTGGATTCCTCACCTCCATCAGCCTTACTTTCCTATTAAAACATAAGCTTCACATCTGCTAAACACTTTTCGACTTATCTTATTTCTCTATTATGTATTTTTTAGCCTACAGTATACTTCTTGGCATGTCACCAAGCAGTCCAATAAACAAGTTACCTAAAAGGTTAACTATCTCAATAATAAAATAATAATAATCCTTGCATTTGATATAGTGCCTTATCATGTCTTTGAGAGGTCTCAAAGCACTTCACAGAAGATACTATAAAATGAATTGACTGTATATTTTGTGGGAAATATTAGCATCTTTCACTGTTCCAAAACCAACATTTAATGCCATTGTAAGTACTTTTGACAGATTTCCACCACATAATACTAGAATTAGTAAGTATAGTTTCCTTTCTGACACTTTCATCTTAGTTGTTGACACCAGACCATAACCAGGCACATTGGAAGCAATGTCCTTTCATGTGAAAGATTAAAATACAAGAATAATTGTGAGCAAAGTAAGTCACGGCACAATGATGCAGTAAATCACTGCAGTATTAAAAAAATTAACATTAACAAGCTAAATACTTGCGATTAACTGATTTCAAAATTAATAATCTTTGCATTTGATATAGTGTTTAAACTGTTGAAATGGCTTAAAGTGCTTTACAGTTAAGTACTGTCAAGTGTTGTGATTGTGTATTTGTCAGCAAACACAGCAGCCAATTTGAACACAGCTACACGCAAATAATTAGCTCTGTAGAACTTCCAGAAGCTTCAAGCACAACCTTTTGGTACAGATGGTCACGTTACAAAAGAGATGTCAGAAGAGAAGCCTGGAAAGAATTAACCAGATGGGTGAATGTGGTCAGACAGCTCAGGGATGCTGTCTGTTTAACTTAAAGCAATAACTCCTGAAGGAGGGAAACTAATTGTGTTATGTTGTGAACACTTTGCTTTCTGTCTGTGTTTATAGAACTTCAAATAATGTTTTGCCATCCAGCAATAGCAGCAACCAGCCTTTGACCAAAACTATTGGAATGAAAGGAGGGGTTACCCTGCAGCAGTTCTCACTGGGACATGTCCAACAGTAAAATGTCCCACATTGCGATGGTCATCAGTGGTAATAATTATCGCATCCCACTCCTTACTATTCACCCCTTATAATGCTACTGGTTGGCAGATAAATACAAACAGTGCTTGTTACATTATTCAGGTTTATAGTGTGAAATAAGTCGAGTGACTAAGTTGGAAAAATGTAACAGTGAATATTAAAGCATGCCAGTCTGTGTCAGTGTTATATTTAGTAGAGCTATCTCTACACTGCACATTTAGAGCTTTATAAATAGCGTTGAGCAGCCTTCTTGCCTCAAGTTGTGCTTAAGCCCTGCTTGACATTTTGTTTTGTTAAAACTGTCTAAAGGCGGCATCACTTCTTTGGTATTCAGTCTTTTCGTTTATTTGAGGTACGTATAATTAAAATCTCATAATACAGTTCGTTATATTGTTGATCAAACATGTAGCAGTTTATCTTTCATGCAAAGTACTATAGAGCAACAGTACTAAATGTATAAAATTCTCTTATGTTGACTTTTGAATTTTTCTTAATCATGACGATACAGTACAAAATTATATTTGTATAGAGCCTTTCATATGGGGAGGACGTCCTAAGGAGATGTACGATGCGCACATGTACAAAGGAAAAACAATATTTTGGTGTCTGAAAAGATGCTTTGGTGCTGCATTGGTTGTTTGCGGGACATTGCTTTTAGTAAATTGGCTGTTTGTCTACAAAATACATAATCAATACACTTTATAGTTAAATATCCAATGAGGTTCAACATCCATTAAGTTGAGACATCCATTGTGAAAGGCCCTATATCAATTGTAAAAATGTTTCTGATGCAGTATGATTCTGATTTTCTGGTAAGAGACTGATGCTTGTGAAGCTACAAGCTTTCTACACTGTGTCTTTATTTGGTAGACCTTGTAAATGACAGCATATGACCTTGGTCATAGCAGCCTTGGCAGAAACACGTGCTCATATCACATGTTTTCATGTCACATGTCATAACCTGATCTTCTAGGCACACTGAGATTTACAGGAGAAAATGGGGTCTAAAACGTGGTATTTACAAACTACACGTGTTGAGTTAAATGCAGTATTGAAAGTCATTAAGGGCCAAAAAAAGAAAGCACTTTAACTTTCAGACTTTTCAACAAGGCATGTTGACCAATTAATCTGGAGCATTGTTGACCAGGTCACTATTAGAAACTCCCTTCTCTTTGAATAATGTCACTGGAACTTTGACATCTGAACAGGTAGACAGGACTTCTTTGCAATATCTCATTCAAACTAAACACCTCCGACAATGCAGCACTCACCCTTTACCGTATAGAAATGTTAATCTAGCTAGGAGCTCAAGATCCAGTATGGGATTTTAACCTACATTCTTCTGACTCACAGGTGAGAGTGAAACCAGCTGAGCTAAGCCATATTTCAATGAGTCATATTTCAGGAGTCTTTTAAAGCACTCCTTTCTGCCACTAGCTATATTCAAATCAAACACAAGGCAGTGTGTGCCAGGAACGAATCACCCTGTTCAGCCAGCACTGAATTGTAGCTCAGCTACACTTCTTTATGTCATAGTTCTTTACTTCAGGCTGATTACTGCAGGTCAGCACTTTCTCACCCACTTGATTGTTTTAAATGACTCTGATCAAGACAATACAGAACTGTATAGCAGCAATTAATTGCCAATATCACAAACTACAGTTGCAATCAGAAATTCATTTTATCTTTCTTAGGCAAGTTAACGCTTCACAATATATTACACAGCATACTGACATTATCTCGACATCTGCTAACAAGCATAAGCAACCTTCACTTAATCAAAACAACATTTATGATCAAGATCGTAATTTTGCAGTTCAGCTTGACAAGCCTAAGCATACCCAACTTAAGTAAAACATTTTTTTAATAATTCACTTCTGATCACAACACCACCAAGATGAGCTGTTGGCACATGACAAAATAAGTTAATCATTTATTTTATTATTGCTTTCCAGGATTCTATCAGAATGTCTGCTTTTGAACGGATTGATTCAGATTTTTACCAATCAAACTATGATATTAAGGATCAGGATCAAACTTATGTCTACAGAGATGATAGTAATCCTGATCCAAATAGGTACGTGCTTTCTTTATTTGATGTTTACCAACCACCTACTGAAAAGGGCTCAAAATTTCACCTAGTTTTAACCTGAAGCACTATTTTGCCTTAAAATGTAAGAATGTAAAAAGTATAGAATTGTTGAAACAACAAGAACAAAATTACATTTATAGAGGGTCTTTCACATCAGGAGAACGTCCCAAGGCACTGGACAGTCATGGGTCAGGACCCGAGCATGGGGGAGAGGTGGGGTAGGGGTGAGGGAAGGCAGAGAGGTGGGAGGGCGATCAAAGCTACGATCGAAGAGGAGGGTCTTGAGACCGACTTTGAAGGATGCGAGGGAGGAAGTGAGGTAAAGGGACTGTGGGATGGAGTTCCACAGTGTGGAGGCAGAGAGGCTGAAAGCCCGTCCACCGATGGTAGGGCGGGTCGGGCGGGAGACATGGAGCAGGCTGGAGCCTGCTGAACGGAGGGAACGGGCAGGTTGGTAGGGGTTAGCAGGTCAGAGAGGTAGGAGGGCACAAGGCCATGGATGGCCTTGAAAGTGAGGACGAGGATCTTGAACTCGATCCTCTGAGGGATGGGGAGCCAGTGGAGTGGGGTCATGGAGCCTGGTAGCTTTGGATGATCTGCAGCTTGTGAAGGGAAGCGTTGGGAAGGCCAATGAGGAGCGAATTATCATAATTGAGCCTTGATGAAAATTCTTGATTCCAAACTTCATTTGGAAGTCAAATGTCTACAGTGTTTAAAATGAATTGGCTTCTAAATTAAAATTACTAGATGACATTTCAGGTCTAAAAGTCTAACCAAGTGAACCCATGAAGTAGGACTCACTGGTGAGCTTTGGGTACAGTCACAAGATCAGAAATGAGCAGTTTAGGTAAAGAAGCCTCTTCTGCCTGTTTGATTAGTTATTAGATGGTTTTCTTTTATTAAAATAAGGACTAATTTTTTATGCATCTTACAGTGATTCTGAAAACGATTACTCACAACGTCAAATCTTTGCACCTTCAGAAATGATGCACACTTCACAGTTCTATGCAGGCAACATCTTACAGCCATCTGCAACCTATATCCCCTTTGGCTCCTCTTCCCCAGTCGATGCTGATTTTGATGATGAACCGCCACTTCTAGAAGGTACATAGTGAATATGTAACCAAACCACATGAATGATTGCTGATCTTAAGCAGGAAGAGGTGTGCTAGTACTTTGAGTTTATTCTGTATACCAATAATGTATTTTCCACTATTTTCCAAATTGTTACCAAAGTATTTGCAGCTGATAAACTTGCACTTATATCATGCCCTTCACATGAAATAACATCTCGAAGCACTTTACAATGGTACGTCAGCCAGACCAAATTACTAAAGAAGCACAGGCTATTCAGCTATTGGATTACTTGAACCTGAACTGTAATGTGGAATTTGACTATTTTTTATATAGCAACTTATCATGTCAAAATGTCTCAAAGGGGCTTCACATGTTTTCTGTATTCTGCTACAAATCCACAGCCATTGCCCAAAGTATTTGTGGGCAAATACAGCAGCCAATTTGGATGCAGCAATGCCTCACAACGAGCCCAAAGGTAAATGAGCAATTTAACTGGAGGATTGCTCACTGGAACACTGTGAGAAACTCCTTTCTCTTGTCGAATAGTGTCATGGGTTCTTTAATATCCAACTGATCAGGCAGATGAGAAATTAATGAGACATTGAGGTCTCATCTGAGGACAGAAACTCTGTCAATGCAGCACTCTCCCAACACTGCATTGGAGTATCAGCCTAGAATGTGAACTCTAAGTTCTGACTTGGAATTTGAACCCACAATCTTCTGACCCAGATGTGAGAGTACAACCATCTTATAACCCCATCCAGCTGTATTAAACATTTATCATTTGTCTTAATTTGCTGATGCATTCTAAAATATTCCTGTCTGTTAATTATAATGGTTAAAGTTCTTAAATGTATTCTTGGAGTAATACAGCTTCTCATTTCTGTTTCTTTGCTGAGGCACATCAATCATGCTACAGTGGCAAATTTATGCTGCCACAGATATTGAGGTTGAAGATGAAATATTTGCAAAAACAAAGTCACTTTGCCTATAGCAACTTCCAGTTGGCATCCACAGACGACTTTTTGCTTTTGGGCCCTTTCTCAGCCATATAACACAAGTAAAATGTTGGAAAGCAAAACATTGACCATAGAATAACTTTTGCAGCCCTTTGGGATTGGAATTTTTCCATAAGTAACTGTGAGCAAGCTTTTATTGTATGGATTTTGCATTTCTATCTAATTGTTTGACATTGGTCTATGTCAGTTAGCTCCAAGCACCATAATAGATGCTGTTCAGGCAATTACCTTTTGCTGTGCCTATCAGCTGCTTGATGAAGATGAAAATAAGGAAGCTTCCTGTCCAGGGAGAATCTCAATTTCTGCTTAGAAATAAGTCTAAATAACTGGATACATGGAGTACAGTACTATATATGCAGGGATATCCATGGCTTCTCAGCTGACTCTTGTGTATATAGTCACAATATCACAGACAGGTTTCAGTGAAGAAAGTTCTATAGTCAATTAATCTCAGCCTAGAATTCCACACTACCATCGTCCCAGTACAGTACCACATACTTTGAAAAGATTCTTGGGCATTCAAGAGGCACATTTTAATGTTAATATTAAGGGCCAGTCACACAATATTGGGAGCTGAGTTCATAAAACTATCAAAAGAGGTTCAGTCACCTTTACCGTACAAAATATCTATCCCACCAGCTTTCTGTGACAGTATCAACGTTTTCTTAAACGAGTCTAATGTCTAAGTCTCAACCATCCTTCCTGATAACCCATTCCAGCTGTTCATTCCCCATGTAAAGAAATGTTCGCTCCTCTAGGCAAAGAATTCTGGCTATGCTCCGGAACAAGGCTTTATGTATAACAGAGGGTCTGAGGTGGGGGGCGGAATCATCTCACCCTGAAGGGTGTTCATTTGTTAAAGGAAAAGTGTCCACAGCTTCACATTTGGCTCAATTGGTAAATGCATTGCCTAGTTTGTTACTGAGCCATGGAAATCAAGACTTGTTAGGTCTAACTCTGGTCAATCCTGAGTCGTTGCTCCCAGTGAGGCTGGTACAGGATGATGTCCACACTAAAGGGTTAATGATTGCCACAATAACTGCAGTTTTAATGATTGATAATCAGCTGTTGAATTGTGCTGCAATTATCGACTTTTACATCAAATACTTTTCCACATTTCATGGAGCTGCCAGAACATCACATCAATTATTCCACCTTTTTTTTCTTGGAAACTAAAAGGAACTTTGAAAATTAAAACATTGTGAACCCACAATAACAGATAAGTTAGCACTCACCCTATCTCCAACTGAATCAAACCAAATGACAGAGGATTAGAGTGCACCAAGACGCCATCTCTTTTTCACCTTTAGCTCATTGCTAGTTCTCAATTCTTCACTGAATTATTATCTAATGTGTGATATAAGTAAATCACACGATGGCTATCCACAGACCATTGATTAATACCCCACCAGCGTGCTCATAAGAACTTACCTCATGATGACATTACTCTGAAGCTATCAGGTCAGCCCACTTGTGAGGTATACATATTAATAACATATTTTGCATAACACAATTATTCTTACCTGAAGGAAAGGGTATCATCTCTGAACCTGCTGAATGGCTGGATTAGCACTTTGCCAAGGCTTTACACAGTCTGATCACGATGATATCTTTATTTCCAATACCTTTATTATACTCGTATATATTATAATTTAAGTGAGCAATGAGAAGAGCATGAGCAATTCCATTATCACAGCTGAAGTTTCAAAGTCATGGCCATTATAGCCAGAGTAATGCATATAAAGCTATGATAAATCTGTTTAAAAAATAACAAGCCTTTCAGCACTAAACCTTTCAATCAATCAGTCATTTTATATTGCCTACCCATTTATATTTTTCCCATTTATACTTTATTCTGACAAAGAATGCTCCAATCTGATTTAGAATGCGCATTCAAAGAGGTTGCACAATTGACAGCTTCACTCAATGTTATAGCGTCTCTCTCAATCTCCATCCAAAATGCTCAAGTGAGAATTTTTTCTTGCAGTTGCGATGTTCACAAGTTTAATGTTTTGCGTTTTTAACTTTTTTTTGGTCAGCCAGATATCCAAGAGACACAGAAATCAATCATTGGGCTTAAGAGTATCAAAACCAAACTAAGAGTTCCACATATGCATGGAGATTTTAATTTGTCTGAAAGGAAGAATGGTTTCTGTCCTCAGAGAGATACAGCCTACTCACCTAATCCTGAGAAGTATTACATGAAGATTGGTGAGAGCAAATGTGCATTGGAGCACTGTAACAGTTTAACCAGCTAAGACTGTGTAGCTTGCCACTATGTTGCAACGCTTCCCAATGCTTGACCAACTAGGACCACCATAGCTAGGGCTTTGATTTGCAGAATTAACAGGAAATGAGTGGGAAGAATCCCTGCTCTCAGTGACTGGTCTGCCTCTACAAATCCTGTTGATAAACCAGGGGGGCTGGTCTGCCATCAACGATGCCATGGACTCTTGTAGAGCTCCCTGATTCAGGAACCAGACTATCGACACAGAGATCGACTTGATTCCGATATTCTTGACAATTTGTTGAGTAACAGAGATTGGAATGGGACAACATATACAGGAAGAATAAGAAAGACATTCATACAGTAGGAGATATAGGAAGATAGCTCCAAGTAACTCACTTGCCATAGTTTGTCTCAGTTCATCCTATAAAGAGAAGCATAGGAATATAAGCAAATATAACACAAGAAACGACCATCCGACACACAAGTCCTTCTAAAGAACATTGATTCCATTACAGACTCTCCCATGCCCGAGAGGATGTCTCAAAATGCTTCACGGGCTTTACGGTAAAGTGTAGTGTGACACCCATAAAATAGACTGGAGGTACTAAATGTAATAATTCCGCAAGGTTGGTAAAATTCACAACTTGTAGCCCCTCCCCCCCACCCCAACCTGTATCTTGTGAAATCCTAACCCAGGACGGTTTCTTTCACAGAACTGGGGATCAACTTTGATCACATCTGGCAGAAGACGTTAACGGTTCTGAATCCAATGAAGCCAGCAGATGGCAGCATCCTGAATGAGACTGATTTAACAGGACCAATGGTTTTCTGTTTCGCATTTGGAGTCACACTGCTGTTGGTATGTTAAAATGTCATTGCATGAAAATGTCACAAAAAGTAATTTACTTGCCATGTCATTCTCTTTCCTTCAATTTAAGTATTTTTAAAAAACTAAACTGTTATTTGGTTCATTATGAACATCATCAGAATATTATTTTGTTAGTGCTGTGGAAAAGTCACTATGTGTCTAAGGCTCTCCTTCCAGAAAAAAACAATTAATTTTGATGCCTATGTTTTTGCAGGAAACAGTAGAAATGTAGACTTTTTAATGTGAGCAGAATGATAAGCTGTTCCCTGAACATGTTTTTTTCCAGGGACTATTTGTAATAATAACTGAGGTGCACCATCATGGTTTACATTTGATAAAAATAACAGTTGCTGATCTTTAATAATAAACATAGACCATCCAGTATTATTATTTCATGCCCTTTCAGTATTGCCATTAGTTTGAATTTTTTTTTATATGTTGATATTTCTACTGAATTGACTGCTTGTGTTCACCAAATCTGAAATGTTATTTGACGCTTGGGAATGGAATCATTTTTAACTCCTTCATTTTTAACTGCTCTGCTACTAACATTGTCCAGTTCATCAGAACATGATGACTGTTCCCTATCATTAGAAAGTTAGTGAAGAGCCAAGGCTTATAGTTCCAGACACTAAATTTTTATTTGTTTTACTGGTAAGCAAAGTTACGCCTGCTCACCCCCATTAACCAAATTAGACAGAAACGTTCCACTTTGGGAATGAGGGTTGTCCCCACAGACAAGCCACAATCCCCCCAAAACATTTCTAGGCCCCAAATTGTCAAAGGACAATGCAGATCTGAACCATGTCTTCATGAACACCCGAGCAAATCAGGTGGCTGGATGGCCTCACTGGCTGGGCAAGTCCAGCCTGAGCCTCATGACCAAATGCTCAAGTGAGCTCTGAGATCCAGTATCTCCGCTTCCTCTTTGTGAGGGCAGATCAAACTCCTCAGATCAGAAGTGCTGCAATACTGATCCCAAGCCAACAGGGGGCTGAAAGCATAGCTATTGCCGGGATCTCAATCCTTCGCATATCCATTTATCGTGAGATTCGGTCATGGTAACCCACACAAGCGAATCTCAACAGGAGATGAACTTTTCCAGCATTGCTAGCTCAAGTAGTAACTGATGTGAACAGAAACTACACTTGATCTTAAGCTTGAGTATTAAAAGTCTGTAGATTGGGGGAAGAAGAGAAAACTTGTGTGGGAGATAAGTGTCAGCTTGGCTCACTTTTTAGCACTTGTGCCTCTGTGTCTGAAGATTGTGGGTTCAACATTGGGACTTTGAACTCACAATTAAGGATTATATTCCAGTGTATTACTGGGGCAGCACTGCATTGTTGAAGGTCCCATAATTTGGATGAGATGTTAAAATTGGTTCCTACCTGCCTGTTCAGGTGAATGTTAAGGATCTGATAAGACTACTCAAAAATAGAAGGGACTTTCTCCAATTGTCTCAGGCATTACTCTTGTAGATAAATTGGTCATTCTGCTTGTGGGATTTTACTCGGCATAAATTGGCTGCTGTGTTTGTCTAGAAAAATAAAGTTGAAACACTTGAAGGCAATTACTTCTAAAGAGCTTGGAGAAGTTTTAACGTTAAAAGTCACTATATCAAATTGAATGATAATTATTAACATTGCTGTTTTGAGGTCTTGGGAAAGAATGTATTGGAGTATGATGGTGAAATGAGTTTTAGAATCATAGGAATTTACAATCTGTAAATTTCAGCCGTTTCCTGTCAGAAGAGGGCCATTTGGCCCATCAAGTCTGCACCAGCTCTCAATGCATGCATTGAATTTTATTCTCAACAGTGAATGTAGGAAGAAGGAAGAATTAAATCACATTCCATTCTCTCTTATTATAAGAAATTAATTTTCTTTTATTACAGGCTGGTAAAGTTCAGTTTGGCTACGTGTATGGAATCAGTGTCTTTGGCTGTTTGGGGGTTCATGCTCTACTCAATCTGATGAGTGTCACCGGGGTCTCATGTGGCTGTGTGGCCAGTGTCCTGGGCTACTGTCTCCTTCCAATGACCATCCTCTCTAGCTGTGCAGTGCTCTTTTCACTCCAGTAAGTATGTTGCATAAGTCTTCTCTGCCGAACTGCTGACATTGATGGTTCAAATTGTTTAGGGATAATTATAAGCATGTCTGTCAAAAATTAAACTGTAATAAATGCAGAACCTAGGTACATAGATATTCAGACCAGAAAAAACAAGAAAAGTAGAGCTCCAGAGTTGGGTCAAGGTACCTTTAAGTCTGCACTTAAATCTCCTCATTCCAACCCCCATAATCCATGTAAGTATCTCCTCTGGTGCTGGCTATTCAGTCCTCTCTTAGTGAGGTTAAGAAACAGAAATAACTGTCTGGCAAACTTTCTGGCTGCTTGACCCAGAAGCACATGTCAAATTCATGATAAAAATAATGGAAAATCCCTTCTCGAATTTGAAAGATAGTTTATCCAGAGAGGTCTGAGCCCTGAGCATTGCTCACTATTATCTTTATCCCGTTACACTGCTAACAATATCACATAGCAGATGAAACTCATTGTCTGTAGTTGTTGATCCTCTCTCCCTTAAGGAACTATCTAGATTTCTCTTGAACCTAACATTTGCATTATAGGGTGACTCCCATGGTGGAACTTCACAGAATTTGTGTCTACTCTGGCCACCATACTTGCTACAAAATTCACAGTTACTTTACAGTAAATCCTATGAAGTACTCTGAGATAACATCCTGACATGAAAGGTGCTATATCAAATGCAACAATTATTATTTTTTATTTTTGTCGGAGTAAGCAATGTTGTGGATGATGAGCGTGAGAAAACAAATCTGCACATTACTTACTTATTATTGGATTAAACTATATAAAAACTATCTAAGATATGGTTGGGCCACTACCTATTTGCGTTAATCCATCCCCGCTTTGAGGATTCTCTTCTACCTATAATGTATAACTCGTCAAGAATCACAATCCTTTGTTTCAGTTTAAAACTCCATTCTATTTTAACGTATGTCATTCTTAAAAATAAACAGAGTCTCTGAGGGTTTGAAAGTCAGTAATTTGTACCTTGGCCAGTGAGAGCTCTTCATTCTCTGCAGGTCAGCAGATTTAGTGTCCTTGGCAGTGTGTACTTATAAACAGAAAATCAACATCACACTTTGCCAAAGTACATGAAACATGCAAGGAGAATTACTCCTATGGGGTAAATTAGCTGCATTTCAGAATGCATTTGATGTTACAATTATCATATCAAATGTGTTATGAAATGCTGCTAATTTTACTCTATTATGTTTAAAAGTGTTTGCCATCTGCCACCTATTTTGCTCTTGTTCCTAATTGCTACTCCTAACATTAGTCTCATGTTGGCAAGTCTGCTAGCTCTCAGCTGGTGGTATTGCAACAGGCAAGTTTGAAAAAGGGCACAGGTCAATGCAGCATATTGTGCAGAAAGACTCTTCATCAATTGGATCTGTAAATGTTATAAACTGTAGGCAAAATGTGCTGTTGTTTCACAGAAAGTAACAGCTAATGTGATGCAGGTAACATCAAGAGTACAGTGAATGCAAAAATAAATTAAATTCAGAATTTATAAGTTATATGCATGTTTTATGCATATAAAAATATTATTTTTTGTGCACTTAATAAATGGAAGCCTATTCAGAGTCAAGATTAGGTATGAGGGAATATCTACCATGGAATGAGCAACCTTGAATTTATATAGTCTAAGCTGACACTCCAATGTAGCACTAGGGGGTTGCACAAGTTGCAGGTCATTCAGAACTCTGCAGCTCGTGTACTGTCCCGCACCAGGCTTCGGACCACATCACTCCCACCCTCGCTCACCTCCACTGGCTCCCCATCCCCCAGAGGATCGAATTCAAGATCCTCACCCTCACCTACAAGGCCATTCACGGCCTCGCTCCCTCCTACGTCTCCGACCTACTATCCCCCTACCTACCCGCCCGTACCCTCCGTTCCTCTGGCTCCGGTCTGCTCCACATCCCCCGCCCCAACCACCCTACCATCGGTGGCCGGGCATTCAGCCTCTCAGCCCCGAGGCTCTGGAACTCTATCCCCCAGTGCCTTCGCCGCCTCCTCCCTTTCCTCCTTCAAGGCCGGTCTCAAGACCTTTCTCTTTGACCGTGTCTTCAGCTCCCCTCTCGACTCTCTACCCCCTCCTCGCTCCCTCCCTTCCCTCCCCTCACCCTGACCATTTCCCCCCTGCTCGGGTCCTGACCCAACTGTACAGCGCCTTGGGACGTCCTCCTGACGTGAAAGGCGCTCAATAAATGGAATCTTGTTGTTGTTGCAATGTCAGTGGTGCCGTGCTTCAGATGAGACTTTACACGGACCAAGGTCATCCAAGTAAGATTGGTCACTTGTTTCATGGCTATTTCTGGGACATTGCTATGTGTAATTGGCAACTGATGTATAGCAGCTGATTTAGCAATTTGGCAGCATCCTGTTTGACTTATTTATTGCTACCTCATACTGTTTTGACATGGTGACCGATGAATCAACTAAAACTACAAGATTTCTTTCAGCTTCCTCCTGGGCAAGTTCTTTCCCATCCATGGAGTGTGTGTTTCCTATTCTTAATTCCTATATGTGTTACCTTGCATTTATCTATACTGAACTTATTTGCCAGTTATCAGCCCATGTGCATACTCTATCAAACACATACTCTATCAAGCTTAGTGTTGTCTGCGAATCCAGGAGATTAATGTATAGAAGGAACAGGAGGGCTCCCAGTACAGGCTCCAAAGGCACGGTGTTTCTTTAGGTGCTCTACCTTTCCAAAAAGTCAAATAGCCTAAATGAAAGAATTGACAATGTAACAGGTTCCCAATTCTACCTTCTGCTCAATCCACCATGGTGGTTCCCTGAACTGTGGCTTGGCCAAGGGCAAGTAATTATATTTAAGCACTGGTGTTGGAAGCCTCAGAAAAGATGGAATTTGAATAGAACAGCATGCTCTGAAGCCCGCCTGTTGATGAGGACTAATTCAGGATTTTACTCCAATAAGCTGGAAATATTAGCACTACAAAAAAGGCCTGTAGGCCTCTTTGGTAATATATTTTAACAAACTGCATCTATTTACAAGATAGCCAAAGTACCACGAAAGGAGGACATAGGAGGACTTTTTTCACCCAAAGAGTTGTTGGGATGTGGAACACTCTGCCATGAAGGGTGTTGGAAGCAGAATACATTGTAGTTTTCAAGAGGGAAATAGATGGGCATATGCAAAAGTGGGGCTTGAAAGGGCTGTGGAGATAAAGTGGGCGGGTGGGATTGAATTGATCTCCTTGAACACAGCATCACATCAGCTTCAGTTAATGAAAAAAATAAGATTTATTTAATCTTCACTCACGTTTGAAGCGCTTTGAGATCAAATGCAAGGATTAGTGTTATATATTATTATGTGGGGTCCATATCACCATGGATCAGATGTGTCACTAAACTGTCCGTGAAATAAAATGGCTGTTCTGCACGAATGCATTCCATTGAGTGTTTTGTTTAGACTATCCGGAGCTACAAATCTTGGGTTTATGAGAAAGTATATATGTTTTACTTGTTGAGACAGTGAAATGATGAACATTTCATTCCTAGCAATGGATTTATATATATATATAGTATAATAATCCTTGCATTTTGATATAGAGCTTTATCACATCTTCAAGACAACTGCAAGCGCTTCACAGAATATACAGTAAAGTGTATATTTTGTGGGCGAATGGATTTAATGCTGGATGTAGGGTATTGTGTAGCTCCCTGTATATTCTATATTGCATGTCCTCATTACAGCCTGCTCAAAGGAGGTGATCAGACGTTCTCCGATTAAGTGCTGCCATGTCTGCAAGTGAATGAGTTATTCATTTCCTCATCTTAAAAGATAAAGCTTTACGGATTTCTCCAGGGAATTCTGACACTTTCCGTTTTTCCTAAGGAGAAGTTATAAAGGATGTAAGCATTGATCTTGGTCAGTGCTAAAGATGAATTAAATAATTCACTTCACCATCTTGTAGTAACCAATACAAGTGTCTTGTTAAAATAGCTCACAGCATATTGAGCTTTAGTCATGTCTCAGCTTCCGTTTCTAATGAACCTGTATAACAATCAGTACTAAACAATCTACCACTGTTTGTGGGACATTGCTGTGCGCAATTGGCTGCCACCTTTCACTCACAAAATATGCTGTCAATTCACTTAACAGTATATTCTGTGAAGCACTTTGAGACGTCTCAAATGCAAGGATTGTTATTATAATTATTGCCTTGTATGTCAACATCACCCTCGCATATACATGGTGAGATAGAGCTTTCTTACCTCAAAAGCATGATTGAAATTTGGAAATATCAGAGTACAGAAACGATGAGTTCCGTTTCAGAGAAAGATGATGGGAACAAGTAAATTAAATCTTTTAAGGAGCCTGCGTTCAAACATGAGACACTTAATGCCAGCGTTATCTTAGCCTGTAAGAATATTTTGGTTTAAAATTAAGGATCACACAGTGCTGTGGAAATAACAATTTGCATTTATATAATTTCTTTCAAGCAGGATAGCATCTCGGAAAACTTAACATTTTGATGCTGAGTCAGGGAGAAAGGGGAGGTGATTGTAGGCACAGTCAAAAAGTCTTTAGGTACAATTCGAAGATGGACAAGGAAGCTTCAAGGTGGAGGGAAAGTTCTTAACTTCAGTCTTTATTTAGAAGCTGGTTTTCCTCAGTTCTCAAAAAAAACTGGCTTCCATATTAAGACTGAATTCATGAATTTCACAATTTTGTGTGATTTTAAAATTGAAGACAAAATAGTCTTACAAGTTTAAACTGGTCGGAATTTTTGAAGTTTAGCTTGTCCAAATATATTTCTTATTTTCTCCCCAGTGATTTGAGCTTTTCCGTTCCTGGTCCTTCTTGCTGGGTGTAGCTCCACCCTCCAGTACCCACCCAGATAGTCACTGTGAGCCTTGTCAGCGAGTGTCAGCAGATCACTTAACTGAAGAGGCATCACAGACATAGAAACATAGAGACAAGAGTAGGCCATTCAGCCCCTCGAGCCTGTTCCTCTATTTTATAAGATCACGGCTGATCTGTACCTCAACTCAATTACCTGCCCTTGCCCCATATCCCTTAATATCCTGACCTAACAAATAGCTATCTACTTCCGTCTTGAAGATATGAACGGATCCAGCATCCACAGCCTTTTGGGGTAGAGAATTCTAGATTGCCACTACCTTTTGGGCAAAAATTGCTTCCTAATTTCACTCCTAAATGGCCTCGCTCAAATTTTAAGATTATGCCCCCTTGTTCTGGATTCCCCACCAGAGGAAATAATTTCTCTATATCTACCCTATCGAATCGCTTTATTATTTTAAAAACCTCAATCAAATCAACTGTCAACCTTCTAAACTCAAGGGAGTCCTGTAGCTCAGTGGTTAGAGCACTCGCTTTGCAAGCGAGAGACCTGAGTTCAATTCCAGGCAGGGCGAAACCTTGGGCAAGTTTCCTTATTCCACACGCCTAATAATAATCCCTCCAAAACCAAAAAAAAACAATAATAAATTGGTCATTTTCAATCTACGACTGTTTGTGGGACATTGCTGTGCGCAATTGGCTGCCGCGTTCGCCCACAAATATACAGTCAATTCACTTTACAGTGTGTTCTGTGAAGCGCTTTGGGACGTCCTCCCGACGTGAAAAGCGCTATATCAAATGCAAGGATTATTATTATTATTATTATTAAGGGAATAGAGACCAAGTTTATGCAACCTGTTCAGACAAACTTGAACTCTTCTCACCTGGTTGCTTGGCCACACAGAACCAGTAGAGTGTGCTGTAGAGTGCACAAGAGCAAGAATCCTAGCTGGTGTCCTCTCTATATGTGTGAAGGTGGGTCAATTTAACAACAACAACAACAATTTGCATTTATATAGCACCCTTCATGCTGGGTAGAGCCTCAAATGCAACATGGCTGAGACCAGCATTGGTTGGGACTCAAACCAGCGAGCTCCTGATCTGTAAGCTGCAGCTCTGCATTATACCATCAGAGCTCCCCAATCTAAATGTGTTAATGATATTCTGGGTAGCTCAGTTGATTGCGGAGTAGACTTGGGTCCTGAAAGTTGTTGCTTCATATTCTTGTGGGACCATTTTTTCAAAGTTGATAAAATAAGTACTCGGTTCAAAAATATTTTCCTCGGGGTTCAGAAGGGTAGGGTGACCCTTATGGGGCTGAATAGGTAGTTTTATCCGAGGCAGACTTTAAGATGCCAAAGAGCTAGGTAAGCAAATGTTATGAGGCAATGTTAAATGTGATTGAGTTTGTGGCTCATTCTACAACACTAAATTGCAGAGTTTACTGCAGTTGATGAATCTAATGCAGTCGCATAACCTTATTTCTTTATTAATGAAACATTGCCTTGTAAAAGAGCTCGATTCCAGTGTACTCCACAAGGGAATGTGTGTTAGCAAAGAAAATAAAACCAAAACAAAAAATAATCATAGTTTAGGATTAGTTTACTCTAAAATGAAAGCAATGATTTACAAAAAAGTACTGTATTCAGAATGCCAAAAATACATCAAACACTACAGTAAATAATATTAATAATATTTTCCAGAATTAAGGAAGCAAGGTGCATCTCCCCAGAGCGAGAGTGCGCATTTCATTCCAGACACAGGGAAATTTCCATGTGTAAGTGGCATACGTATGTGGAACTCCCAGTTTGGTTTGAGTACTCTTAAGCATGGTGATGGGTTTCTGTACATATTAGACACATAGCTGACCAAAAAAGATATAAATATTCATGCTTCATGCCTGTAACAGCAACACTCACTAAGTAGAAAAAAAATTGACCATATTTTCAAAGGACCTCTTCATCTGAACCTGTTTTGTGTTAGGCTCCACAAGCCTATCAACCCCATTCCACACCCCCCACCAACCCGGCTTCACTAGCTCCCTATCTCCAGAGGATCAAGTTCCAGTGGCCTGCTTCATGGGCCCTGCCCTGCTCACCCCACCATAGGCAGTCTTTCTGCTCCCATTCTCTGGAACTCCATCTCGGAGACCCTTCAACTCTCCCCTTCCCTCAGCTTGTTCCAGGTCCATCTCAAGACCTTCTTCTTTGACTGGACCTTTGGTCATCTCCCCCTCCATCCCCCACTTGCCCCCCACTCCTCCAGAATCCAACCCCAAACTCGGTGCAAACCCTTGACACTCCAATGCCTCATGTCCACCTGACATGAAAGGCGCCATATAAATGTGATTTGTTGTTGCCTGTGCAGTCCTGGTCATTATAATTTTTTGAAACTAAGTTACTGACAAACACAAAATGGTGATACATATATATCAACACAGATGTTGCGTTGTGCAGTGTTTATGCTACTGCAAACACACTGATGACATTTTTCGTACTGTGCTTTGTTAAACACAGGGGAGTGATTGGAACGGCGCTTGCTTTGATTGTCATTGGATGGTGCAGCCTGTCAGCCTCGAAAATGTTTATCTCTACACTGGCAATGGAGGGACAGCAGCTGTTGGTCGCCTATCCTTGTGCCTTACTCTATGGCATATTTGCACTTCTGACAGTTTTCTGACCAGCTTGTGAGTATCCTCCTGGGCAGGGGGTGGGGGAGGAAAGTGGAGTCTTCCTTGAGCTGAACTCATTCCAAGGTAACATGCTTGGCAACAGAATGTCTGCCACTGTTGCAGTCTCGGAAGTCCAGCACAACCAGTCTGGCTCATCAGCAGAACCTGGAAGGGCAGACCAGTCACTGAGAGCAAGGATTCTTCCCACTCAGCTCCTGTTAACCCTGCAAGCTAAAGCCCTAATGGGTAGGGTGGTCCTAGCTTGTCAAACAGAGGGACAATTTTTTGATGTTTTTAATGTAAATGATAGTTTGGAGTTCAGAAATCAATATCAATACCATGTAAAATAATAAAAAAATAAATCATTAATGAAGTGGAATTTAAGTAATGACTTCTTTGCTTTGTGGATTGCTGATATCGGTGTCAAATTGATTGCACTAATTTTTTTTTTAAAAAGCACAGACTGGAGAGAGGGATACAGATGCTATCCAAATGAGTCACAATATAGGCAAACTTCACCTGGGAATTTTATGAGGTGATGCTTGTATCCAGTTGCTTATCTACAGTGCATATAATTAGAAAGATGATCCATTGGATGTAGTTAAGCTACATCCCTAGGATGTCATAAAAGTGGTAATATTCTTTGCTTTACGAACACGTAATCCCTCATGTATTATGCTTTAGTCATTGCCTTAAGTCTGAATCCCCTGCTGGTCTAGAATTACGTAATCTATTGCAGATTTGTTTCACTTTTGAGCTTCAGGGATATACAGTACCATACAATACACACTTCTATAGTGGGTTAACATCAGGAGGACATCCCAAAGCCACAATTGACAAATCAGGTTGGGCACTGGAACTGAGGCTGAGAGGGATCAGAGGGGAAAGATGACCAAAAGCATGGTCAAAGAGGTAGGGTTTGAGCCATACCTTGAAAGAGATTATATGTAAATAAACTTTTTAAGGAGAATTTACAGCTACTTTACAATACAAAATTACATTTGTGCCTTTCATGTCAGGAAGACATCCCAAGTACTTTATATGTAATTGTAATCCAGAAAGCTAATTAATCTGGGGAGGGAGCAGTGGTGTTAGAAAAATGTCAAATATTACTTGAAGCTTTTGGCTTGTCTGGCTTGTACTTTTGCTTGCAAATGAAATGGAAATGAATCTTAAGATCTTCATTATTTTGCTCCAACGACATTAACCTTTAAATAAATGAAACCCAAATCTTTGGGCTTGAAGTGAATTGGACACTTTGTCTGTTTGTAATGTTGGCAATTAGTGAGGAAATGTCGACTTCCTGGTTGGGAGCATTGCCTACTGTGTGCCACAGCATGACTCTTCACAGGGCTTTGCGGCATTTCACAACCCTGATGCGATGGATGAATTGTCATGAGAACAGCAAGAGAAAACAATAAGGGTCTTCTAATTACCTCTATTTCTCATTTCTTACTCTCTCCTTACCACAATTGTTGGCCAAGACTTCAGCCACTCCACCCCTGCCTCCTGGAACTTTGTTCCCAAACCTCTCCATCACTTCCTCTCGGCTTGACCAAACTTGCCTAAAAAAACATGCTTTTCCCAACTTCCCTAATTCTCCATTCTCCTGCTAGGTGCTCCCTATCATAAATGTTAAATGTCTTTAGGTGTTTCTTCTACGTGGAAAATGCAGTATAAATGCAAGTTGCTGCTGAAGTAGGGTTATCAGCATTTGATGACCATGCATTGAAGTGAATTTGGTCACTTACAACAACAACTAACAACAAATTGCCTTTATATAGCACTTCAGGAGAATGTCCCTAGCCACTTGACAATCAAGGGTTTGCACCCAAGCTGGGGGTTGAATTCAGAAAGGATGGGGGAAAGATGGCGCCGCTGGTAGGGGGATGCGGGTAGATAACCGAAGGTCCGGTTAAAATTTACTTTGCCCTCAGTCACCCTCCCCCCCCTAAGGTTTAATGATGATCTCCATTCTTTTGATACATCAGAAGCATGAATTATGCCTTTGTACAAGATCTGCTCATGAATGAAGTATAAAAAGAATAGTACATTTTCTCTCCTTTATTGCCCAGATAAAATTGACATTCACTTCAAGGCTGTTTGTGGGACACTGCTGTGTGCAAATTGTCTGCCATATTCACCTACAAATACAAAGTCACAACATTCTCCAGAAATGTTTTGAAGCACTTTAAGTTGTTCTTCCCTTTATTATTGTTGTATTCTTTAGAAGTCATTAAATTGTGAGACAAAGAGGAAGAATAGATCAAAGGCTTTGGAATAAGCGCTTTGAGACATCTCGATGACGTGATAAGGCGCTATATCAAATGCAAGTGCAAGGATAACTAATAATTGAAATTTATTTTTGTTAGCTACATTATCTTATCATATAAGGCTCTTGGAGAAGTATTTGAAGAGGAAGAATAAAAACGCGTATAGAACAAAGGCAAGGATGAGTTTGATTCAGCATGGGCTTGCTGGGCCAAGTGGCCTCCTCTGCTGTCATTTCTAAAATTCCTTAAATCCACGATTCATATTTTGAGTTTAAAGGTTTAATTTTCCTTGAATGGGTCTTCCATTGTACTCAAACCTGAGTGAAGATAACAATAATGATAATAATCCTTACATTTGATATAACGCCTTCTCACATTGAGACGTCTCAAAGCTCTTCACAGAGTATACTGAAAAGTGAATTGACTGTGTTTTGTGGGTGAAATGCAGCAGGCAATTGCTCACAGCAGTGTCTCACAAACAGTCATGGATTTGAGGAACCAAATGTTTTTTTAAGAGATTACACCCCAGAAAAGCAATCCACCAATCGACTAGCAACCGGATTCCTACTTACTGCTAGGTAAACAAAGGTATGTGGAGTAAGGAAGCTTGTCTAAGGTTTCACCCTGCCCAGTAATCGAATATGGGTCCTCTCGCTTGCGAGTGCTTTAACCACTACGTTAATTTGAATTACCTTCTATGGGTGGAAATTATCCAAACATTGATAAAAGAAAAAAATAAATTAGGATTCAAACACAATGGAGAAGAAATCTCTTTGATGCTCTTCCATGGATGTTTTGGTGAAGACCAGAATTAGAAATAACATAGTGTTGGCCCAACAAAGTTTTCAGTATTGTGTGATAATATTGACTACCCTTCAGAGAGTTTTGCTGCTTTGCTTTAAAACTTGCATGAGTATTGACCATCATAGAATCAATAAGGAAAGTCTGTGTTGTACTGAAGTTCTTAACTTTTCACAAAACAACTAAGAGAATTGAAGTTGGAAAACACTTTTGGCAAGTTCTTTTTATCCAATGTTCAATCTTCATTTTGGGTTTGGCCTTCACTGTAAGGATTGTTATCTCCTTGGAAGTCACTGTTAGAACAAAGACACAGTTTAGTTTGATACCTGTGAACCTTTCAATGAGATATAAGTTATATTATTTGAGATTTATTCTTGTGAGTTGTTTTTTAAAGAAGCTAAGTCATGTCAATAGGGCTCCTTCCTGTTACTGAAAGAATGTCACTGACCCATGCCTCAGAGACAAGACTGCACTCTGATGCTAGCGACATCCAAGCCACAGTTCCCGGAGGTCGATTATATCACTAGTTATTAAAGAACCACATTAAGAAATACTGAGGTGAAGTATACGACATGCGATATCATATCCATGGAAATTTTGCTTTGTCAATATTTCAGTTAATGTTGAGTGAATACCTTCCTGACTTCAACAAAATGCTGGTACAGTATGTAGTTTATTGGCGTAACACAAATTCAGTTCATGTCGCGCCACATTTCCTTCCCCCCGACACACACACTCATGGCAAATTAGACCCCAGCAAATGACAAACAGCTCTCGGGACACTAGTATTGGAAAACATACTTTAGAATTAATCTTGTAAAGAAAATTTGTTCTGAAGTGCTCATTGTCTGTGAAATAAATTTCAGCAGTGATCTTTATGACTGATGGTTTTCAAGCCCATGAAAGATTTCTTTCTATAGAAATTTCAGAGCATGACAGTTCCCTTCAACAGCAGTAGATAGGTTTCTATGGAGATCGTTGTTGTTTTATGAGGGCATCTCTTTGTCACCAGGCTTTCTGGGAATCTGTCAGAAATTTTTCTTTAAAGCATATCATTTGTCAAGCATTTCTTTTGAATAAATTCCACATCAGGACGTATTCTGGAAACATTTCCGACAAACACCGACATGGGAACATTTTGTGGTGGATAACGTAGAAAACACTTTTTCAGGCAGAGATGATTGGTACTGGCCCAGATACCGGCCTTGAAGGAGGAAAGGGAGGAGGCGGCGAAGGCACTGGGGGATGGAGTTCCAGAGCCTGGGGGCTGAGAGGCTGAAGGCCCGACCACCGATGGTAGGGCGGTTGGGGCGGGGGACGTGGAGCAGACCAGAGCCAGAGGAACGGAGGGTACGGGCAGGTAGGTAGGGGGATAGTAGGTTGGAGAGGTAGGAGGGAGCGAGGCCGTGAATGGCCTTGTAGGTGAGGATGAGGATCTTGAAATCAATCCTCTGGGGGATGGGGAGCCAGTGGAGGCGAGCGAGGGTGGGAGTGATGTGGTCGCGAAGCCTGGTGCGGGACAGTACACGAGCTGCAGAGTTCTGAATGACCTGCAGCTTGTGGAGGGAGGTGGCGGGAAGGCCGGCGAGGAGAGAGTTCCCATAGTCCAGCCTTGAGGTGACAAAGGCGTGAACTAGGGTTTCAGCAGCGTGAGGGGTGAGGTAATGCCGTAGTCTGGCGGAGTCTGCCATACCTTAATGTCAGAGCTAACAATGTGGAACATTCAGGAGTGCTGAAAATTAATAGGAATCAGTGAATCTGTAGAGGGAAAAGATCTGATCAGTGAATATGTGGAGTAAAATGCCTATTAGTACAAGTGGACGAGTAATTTGTAAATCTCAGCCAAATCGCATCACCCAATTGAGTCCTAGGGCTGTCGCTGTCACTCAGACTTGTTCCTCTAATTCAGTGTTCCGCTACCACAAGAGGAAAAGAACCTGAGAGGTTTGAAATTCATCTGCCATACTATTTTGTCTTAAAATGTAAAATTGCACAGGGTCATGGAACTCAGTCTTAATTTGGAAGGTGTTCCAATTCTTAAAGAGAACTGGCTTCCAAATTATGCCTGAATTTTAAAACATTTCTGCATGACCTCAAATGTTAAGACCAAATAGGT